TGCAATTTGGTCCTAACTGCATGAGGCCTCAATGTTTTCTGGAGAAAGTTAGGTATCCAGGCTGATAACTAAGAATAGGATAGGTGATCCATGTAACAATGTAAAAGCTGTTATATATACTGAAAAAGGCTCCAGATGTTATCACACTCCCTTAGGTAAATTCTCTTTCAATGAATGGTAATATCTGTTAACTTTGTGCCTCATGTTGTTGAAATATTTTTATTAAAAAGAATTTACATAAAAATCACGATGGCTAAAAGTAACCGGAAGATGTCAGCTCTTCAACTTCCTCCACCTTTGTTGGTTAATAATTGTTAAAATAGTTTGCAAGTAGATACACTCATCTATCTTATTATCTTACAAACGTATTCCTCTTTTATTCTAAACTAAATAAAAATTCTATGTCTAATTATTATTATTCTGCCCCAACCCTATAAAAACTGTCTTGGGGGCAATGATATGTCTATAGGATCCTGTAAAAGAAAAAAAAAGCAAAAACCTAAATCAGAGATTAAATCTCAATAGGACTAGCTGTAGCATTTATAGCCAGATAGCCAGTCTCTGAGTAGTGAATGGTAAGGCTTATCTGAAGTTCTGACTAGAGTGTTGAAAAAAGGTGAACCATCTCAGATGGCCAATTTGGAACTGTCGTGAGCAATTTTTAGTCTAAAGCTGATCTCTGAGTGGTATTTATTGACTCAATGACATCATTATGAAACAGGTAGAATCATTGTTATTGGACCCCAACTTCTTTCTGGAGACTTCAGAGATTACTGTTAGGAAAATTTATTGTTCACTGTGGAAGACTTAAACCTTACTAATATCAAAACAGAAAGTTTAAATTTTTGAAAAAATATTCACACAAAGAAAGGTACCAAAGAGATAAAAATAAGTATGAGGGGAAATAGAATAGTGACAATAGCCCCTAAGTTTTTGGTTTTCTTCTGTCTCACACCAGGTGGCTCTTCTGATATCAGACATAAGCTCTGAAATTTTCATTTACAAACATGCTTGAATTTAGAGAAGTAGAGAATCACACTCCATCTCCAAAGCCAGCTTTGATTTTTAATTACACTGGGACTACAACTATTCTGATAGTAAAAATATAGAGAGGTTTAGGTAGTTAACTTTTACCATGTAGAGAATATTAGTATCACAGGCAAGGTATCTTTTAACTTGATATTTTTTTCCTGAATAGTTTTTTTCTTCTTTAGACATCTATATGTCCAAGGTCTTTTGATTTCTTTAAAGTAAAAGATCTCTGTTTTCCTGTAAAGACGAAAACAAAACCTCGCCCTGACACTTGTGAGTTTTCTTTACAACTTATAGGATTGTCACATCAGTGGATGAGCTGTCATTTTTCCTTATCAAGAGGATTCTCCTGTTCAGAGTTAATCTTAATTAATTTTGATGGTATCTATAGCTTTTATTCTCCTGTGGAAACAAAAGCAAAACCCCTTCCCCAATGTAGCACATGTCCTGCTTTCCATTCTGAGGTCAACATGTCCTTGAAGTACATAGGTCGATTCAACTCAGAAACTTTTTCTGTTGTCCAAAGTCTCTTGGAGTTATTCTTTTCTCAATAGCATTAAGAAAATTCAAGGTTAATAAGGCATTATGCAATCTATCTCTGGGGGGGGTATCTTAGTTCCCCTTATCTGTTTATTAAGCATTTCTTTTAGATTGTGATTAGATCTATCTACAACTGCTTGTAGTTTAGGATTGAGTGGTATATTTTAATATGCCTTTGTATTATAATATACAAAACTATTTTATTTTACTAGAGACATATGCTGGAGCATTGACAGCTTTAATTTATACAGGTATTCCTATAATGGCTATGACTTCTAATAAGTGTGTAATTGCAGAATCAGCCTTGCTGTGTGGTAGTGCTGCACGTCTTTAATCCTAGCACTTGGGAGCCAGAGGCAGGTAGATTTCTTGACTTCAAGGTCAACTTGGTCTACAGAACAAATTCCAGGACAGACTCCAAAGCTACACTGAAAATCCTTGTCTCAATAAATGAAAAAAAAATCTCCAAACAAAAATCAACAACAAAAAATAAAATTAGCTTTAAAGACCTCAAAGCAGTTGCCCATTGAAAAACTGAACCATGTATATTCTATGGTGTACATATTTTAATTCTCCAAAATAAAAAACCATCCATTTGCTAAGTTTCATTTTTTTACATATCTTTAGGGTTACTTCCTGAAAGTAAAGGTGTTATAGAAGGAAGAAGTAGAACATTTTTTATAATTTCTATGGCTTCTGCCAAGTGATGGAAAGCCCTTATTTAAACTTACGTTATTGACAAGGTGTTTTTTAATAAAATTCTGAGGCCTAAAGTGTACTCCTTATTAATATCAATTTTATTATTACCTTGTACTAGAAGATCTAGAAGACCTGTATGGGATCCAATGTGTGTTATACACATAGGATGTTTCCTATTCCTGATTATTTCCTGTAATTGTATAAAACATAAAGTTAACTCTGTTTCACTAGGAATAAATTTAGCAGTTTCAATGTGTATTGAGAGTCAGTAACTATATGGAAAGGTTCTATATAATCTCTCAGTACCATAAGAATGGCATACAATTTTGACTTTGGGCCTTGTATAACTTTAGTATATGACTTAATTCTTTTTCCTAGCTCTTGAATCCTTTCCCAAGCATTCAAGGCTGCTGTACAGTATAGGAATATGATGTGTTCATTGTATGTAGCCTGACTATTTATATCAGTATAACAGCCTTTACCAAGAAGTTGATTTGGGGGAACCTCATAGCCCCTGATTCATCTTGATGTTCATGGGCTTTAGCTTCCTCTGTCCAATAGCTCTTCCATTTAAACTGAGGACCACATTCTAAACTGGGTAAGGCTTGTTAAAGCCGGTTATTTGGGATAATCCTATGTTGACAGAGGTTTTTGTCCCACCAGGTCCTGCAGCCATTCAGTCCCAAAGAAACACACAGAGGTGTAAATTAATTATAAACTGGTTGACCTATTAGCTCAGACTTCTTATAACTCTTATAACTTATATTAGCCCATAGTTATTGTCTGTGTTAGCCATGTGGCTTGGTACCTTTTAACAGCAAGACATTCTCATCTTACTTCCTCCATGTCTGGCTTCCTCGGTGTTGACTGCAGACTGAGTCTTTCCTCTTCCCAGAATTCTCCTGTTTTCATCGCCCCATCTCTACTTCCTGCCTGGTTATCCCACCTATACTTCCTGCCTGGCTACTGGTCAATTAGTGTTTTAGTAAAACAATATAAGACCATTGTCCCAAAGCAAGTCCCCTTCTTTTTTTCAAAATGAGAACTCTGAATCTAATCTTTGTTTAGCAGGCTAGCTGAGGGCCATGAGGTTCAGTTCATGTTGGGGTCCAAGTGAAGGCATGAAAAAAACAACTTATTAAGGGGATATAACTCACAGATAGAGTATGGATGACGTCACTACTGTTCCTGTGTCACTTCTCTGCCACTTGGTCTCTCCACATGACAGGCACCAGCCAGAGCAAGAGGGTGGACATGCTTTCCACTTCAGCTTATCTGTCCTCAAGTAGCACACACAGTCTGCACCCCAAAGCTATTGGCAGAATGATAGAATGATTATTTCCACAATAATCTTGCATCTGAGGTCACAGACAATGTTTGAAAACAATATTCAATGGCCAACAAAGTCGATCATGGTCCAAGTTCTTTGGACATGGCTGATCTTCACTGAATATACTTTGTCCTACAGAGATTGCCTTTATTTTAACAATTGCCATCAAATGTTGCAGGGGATTTTATTATATTTTCCTTACATTGTTGCTTCAAGATGGCCAATGGAAATGAACATTGGTTCAGTAGACAGAATCCACATTCAACTGTCTGGAGTGGACAATATAGTTTCTGACAGGATCAGAGGAAGATAGAGGGACATACAGGGGGAATAAGGAAGGATGAGAAGAGATGTGTAGCTGTTTGTTTTTTTATTGGGGGAGGTGGAAAAGAGGGTGAGGTGTTCACTTTTCCATTGCTCCGTGGATCTTTCAGTTTTATTCCCTAGTATCTGACTCCTGAGATTTATTTTTCAGTAAAATACAACAAAAAACAATAAAAGAAACTGCAACAATGAAATCATTTTATCTTTCAGGTTGACAATTATGGTGCTGCATTCACTCTCCCATAAAACTTTCCTTTTTGTAAGATACATTCACTGCTTTAGAAAGTCATAAAGGTAACACGAAGGTAACTACAGAAAACCCATCAGTTAGGTTGTCTACCTTCTCTTTTCTGTTTTATGGGTTTGGACAACCCCTAGTGGCCCACATGTTAAAATCTTAGTCTTCAGCAAGATATTGCTGAAAGGTGGTTGATACATTAAGAGATGGGGCCTAGAAGGAAGAAGTTGAGTCCATGTTGGTAAGCCCTTGAAAGAGATACTAGGCTAGGGGCCTCCAAAGCCTCTCTTTTTGATTCCCAGCCTAAGTGAGGTCAGTGAATTCATTCCTATGAGTTTCTTCCACAATGCACTACATAGATACAAACCAAAGCAGCAGGGCTGACTGATCATGACCTGAGACCTCTGGAAGTATGAGCAAAATAAGTCTTTCATTGTTGGAAATGGATTGACTTCAGTTCAAGTAACAGAAACTGTCATCTCTCCCATGAACATTCTGATTCCTTTAAAAAGCTTCTGAGATTGTAACTGCCTTCAATCTACTCTACTAGATAGTCTCTCTTTACTATATTAATAGCCACACTATCCTGTCCTCCAACTCACACATTTCCCTATTTCATTCTCCCCATTTTTAGGGATGTATGCCATTTTTATATTATTGACTTTTCATTGCCAAGGGAAGAAAAAATGAGGAATAGTGAGAAATAGTTTTGACTATGATCTTGAGCCATCACTCTAAAACAGCAGAAAGGCTTGTTGTTCCTTAAAATATTTTCATTTGTTATATGCCACAAAATAAGAGGATTTCACTACTGTGATAAAAGACCACAAAGCAACCTATAGAAGAAAGAGTTTATTTTTGTTTATGATTCCAGAGTGACAGAATTCTTTTATGGTAAGAAGGCATGACAGGAAACAGCAAGCATGGTGACTGGGGAGAAGCTGAGTTCCCACTTTTTTAACCAAAGCACAAAGCAGAGAGTGAACAGGAAGTGAGGCTTTTAACTCTCAACACCCAACTCAGTGGTGCATTTTCTCCATTAAGGAAGAATCCTAATTGTCCACAAGCAGAGTTATCAATTGGAAATCAAATGTCCATTTGCCTGAGGAGCAATTCTCAATCAAACTGTCACAACTTGATTTTGCCATTAATGTATAGCTTCAATATTTTTGATTCCACTTTTATAGCATAAGACTCTCTTTAAAAATTTATAATTTTTATCTGTTTATTTATTTATTTGTTTGTTTGAAGAAGTGGTGTATACACCACAGTACAGGAGGAGATGGCATAGGATAACTTGCAAGACATGGATCTCTCCTTCCACCATGTTGTCACAGAGATCAAACCCATCTTGTCAGGCTTGGGAGCCAAGAGTCCTTTTCACTGAACCATCTAACTCATCTCTCTTTAAATGTTTTATTATAAAAATATTTTTAAAATTAATAGACCTCAATGTGTCTAAGGACACACGAGTAAAAGGAACAATAGGCCAAAGAGGCCACCTGAATATGAAATAGTAGTCTTTTGAGAACATCTGAAACATCAAAGCTTAATTTATTTTTTATTTTATTTTATTATTTTGTTGTATCTCATTTTATTTTCAGTAGTTTACTCTACTTTGGGGTTAAAACCAGGGCCGCACACATGCTAGGCAAGCATTATATCACTAACATACTGCCCCATCTATACAACGGCCTTTGAATGGACTGGCTTTCTCAAATGCCTGCTTTTAAGAATGAGTTTCATGACCATCTTTGAACTGCTATGGAAAAGAGGTTATAAAAAATCAGATTTTCAATAGCATGATTTCTCAGTGCTCTAAGTTATCAAATTGTGGCACGAGTAATGAAAGAAGGAATTAAAACAACAGACGACACATTAATGAGACATCTAATATTGGAATCATCGTGCCGAGAACAAAAAAAAGAGAGTGAAAAACTTCTAAGTGGATGAAGAGGTATGCAGATATCTTGCATAAAGAAAGTATAAATTTGAATAAATTATTTCAATGGAACACAAGTAAGATCTCAATTTTTAGCTCTGAATGACTCCAACATCGAAGCACAAATTTAATGAGATTGAATGGTGTTTAGAGAATGGAGAAGTCTTAAAGCTTTTTGAGCGTATTTGAGAAATACACACTTGCTTTAATTGACTTAAAAGAGAAAAAAATACCTTTTTCATATGCATACTGATTTAAAGTTCTATGCGTGGGGGAGGATAGGGGGATCACCATCGTCTTCCCTGGGATAATCTTAAGTGCTACCACTGTATTTTAAAAATAATAACAGTAAATATTTTTGTCATTACTAAAAATCATTCTTAAGATCTTTCAGAATAATTGTTCCCATAACTCATGACTCAGAAGAACCAAATGCAGACTCTGTCCATGGGCCTATGCAGGCCATTAGAAATCTCATTACAGCTTCGTTTTCAGTTCTCTGTCATTCTCAAACTCAGGACTTCTGTGCACATCCATGCACTCGCTTTCCTTCTCTGTGAGCTTCATCTCAGCAAGTTCAGCCTCTGAAGAGTCAGTTTCCTCAGGGAGTTGGAACTTCCTCAAAAGTTTTAGAATGAAGATTGACACAAGATAGCTTGATCCTCTTAGAGCTGCTGGCAACCCAACGTAAATGTGCCTGTTGAAAACAACTAATCTGTATAAAATCTTAATGCATTCAGTGAAAGTTAGTTTTGTACATTCTTACAGATCATTTATTCTTCAAAGAGAAACATTAGGTGATTATTTTTGCTCATGTAATTTATATATCTACTTTGCTAAATTATCAATTCTGTTAGTTAAAATGTCAAAAATTTTCAACAAGTTTAAATGTATTTTTTTCAGTTTGGTCATGGCTAGTTTTTGTTGTCTACTTGACTGGATTTAGGATCGTTATAGAAAGACATCTCTAGGTGTTTCTATGAGAATATTTTCAGATTGGTTTCGCTGAGGAAGAGGTCCCTTATATCATGAACTGAACTTGTAGCCCTCAGTATTTCCTGCCAGGGCAGGTGACATGAACAGCCTCCTCACCAAACCCTATCTGCAATTACTTCACACTAAGTCACTATGCTTCCCCCGCCATTATTGCCTATTTTCTAAAATATTGAGACAATAACATCCCTGTATCAGGTTAAGGGAGCTCTTTGCTTTGTTTGCTCAACTTTGATTACACATGCATAAAATATCATAAACTTGCCTTTCAAGATTTCTTTCCTACTAAGAATTTGTATGCTGTTATACTAATAGAGTTTTGTGACATTGACATCCTTGCCTAAAGTAAGTCATATTAGTCATCTTGTATATTAATAATCTCAATTCATTAATTTTAATGCATTATTTTGCACATATAATGATAAATTTATTTCTTTCTATTATCTTAATTATGAATATGTGTTGGGTCTCTGTGTGGGCATGTGTTCAGGAGTCCTGAACAGCTTAAGTTGGAGTAACAGGAGGTTTTGAACTGCACAATTTGGGTCATGGGAATTGAACTCATGTGCTCTGCAAGAACAATATGTACTCTTAAACCATGAGCTGTATCTTTAGCCCTAAATTATTTTCATTTGCTGAACTTGTCCATTTTAATCATGCAGAATATGGATGTTTCCTGAAATTAGTTAGGTAATTTTCCCTTTTAACATTTCTGAGACTAACTTTTGTTCTGTTATAAGCATCTATTCCTTGTAAATTTGACAAAGTATGCCTTAAAATTTCTGGACATAATATGTATGGTAAGTAGGTATTTTGGCAAGTATATTTCTAATTAAGTAGGGAAAACATTCCATCATGTTCTCAACATATTTGTAGGAAAATCTGGTGTGATGGATAGTGTTGTTAACCTCATACAATCTAGAATCTCCTGGGAAGGAAGTTTTAGTGAAGGCCTGTGTGGATTTTGTTGGCCTGTGAACAGGATCGTGGGACATTATTTTGATTATATTGATTGAGGTGAGAAGTCCCATAGTGGGTAGGGCCATTCCTTAGGCCAGAAATCCTAGACCACAAAAGAACAGAGAAAACATGCCTACCTCTACAGGGGGAAATATAAAAGTAGTATAGATGCCTAAGGTATAATAGCCTAAAAACACCTTTGGCGTTCTTTCACTAGAAGAAAAATTAAAAAGTATCTTTGCTTACTTTTCTGTCACTGTTATAAAAGACCCTGACAAAATTAATTTAAAGGAAGAAGGTGTAAGTTTTCTCAAAATTCCAGGTTATTCCAGGAATACCCCACTATTGTTTATTATATCCAATAATATGCATTATCAAGGCAACTGGTACTTTAACCCACACTGATACACTGACAGAAGTAATTGAGACCCCCCCACACTGTTACTATAAATATACCAGGCTGGGAATGGTGTCTCAGGCTAATCATAGCCAGACATGGTTGAGGACAGGACAATGGCCAGCACTTTTCTCTCCTAGAACTTTTCAGTCTACTGCTCACCCAGAAACAAAGGAGTGGGTCTAACCCACAGCTTTTTTGCTTATGCTGAAGTGATTTTCAAAGCAAGAAGTTGCACAGTGAAGTCTGTATAATGTAAAGTTCCTTTGTGGGCTTTCTTGAGCCCATTACCCTCCAGAGCCAGCAAGGTGAAACTCTGGTTCCAGATCAGCCTAGTATGGCCTCTGTGCATGGGGCAGCAATGAACTCACAGTTATCCCACGATATTGTTAGCGACTGGTGCCTGTGTAGCACTGAGAGTGGTGGAAACATTGAAGGTGCTACTTTTAGTCTACACAGCAGCGTGGAAGCGCATAACTGGTTGCACCCAGATCTCAGAGGCCAGGCTCCCCAGTCTGCTGGTTCTTGAGGGTGATGGCCCCAGTTATTTCTACGTGTTGTCACTTCCTTCCCCTTCTTGATACTCTCAGCCGGTTTGTACCACAACCTCTCTGCTGAGCCATGTTTTGTTTATGAGATGGTTAACCGCTAAGTGCAGTGGAGCATCTATAGATTCCCAGCGATGAGACCATCAATCAAATTCAGGTAACAGGTCCCTTCTAAAGATAGTCCCTGGCTCTGGCACCTGACATTTTCTACTAAACTTCAGGGGCAGAACACAGGTTTGGGGTTCTTCGTATATCAGGTGCAAGCATGAGAGGGCTGTGAAATTTACAGGAGCTAAAACATCAGGATCCGCGGTACTTGAATGTGTTAGGTCTGTCATCCTGACCCCTGCAGAAAGAAAGAACCTTCTACTCTGTCCTCAGATATGGGGTGGTAGGAGCTGAGAGATTTTGTTCCTGTCAATAGTGGCATTGTCACTGTTCTCTGGATCTGGCTGTCTTGTTTATCTCCAGTGTTCTTCCATGCTGCCTCCGCTCAAGATGCAGCTCCCCTCCTATTGCTCCAGGACATCTACACAGATGCCCTGCTCCCTTTCTGATGTATTTTGAACAGTTAGGTTAGGAAGCCCATTTACACTTATATGTATCAAGCACTTTAGAAATAATGGGAATATATGAAAATACGCATATAGGAAGTTATACCATTCACGTACATTCCAAAAATGAAACCAAATTTAATCTTATCACTGAAGAAAATGTTAGATACTAATGGGGACACTTTATACATTAAAAGCACAAGTCACAAACATTATCATTACCTGAATTCATTTATATCATACATCCTGCATGCCCCTGGCTCACCACATTTCAGAGTTCCCCAGTGTAAACAGGTTCTGTCTATCAAGGCACCAAAGTAAATAGGTGCTGGAATGCCCCCTGCAATGAAGAGAGAGAAAAAAAGACCATTGAGAAGAAGAAAGAAAAGAAAGAGATGTGTTATTTTATTTGGAAGTACTTCAGTTTCCCTCTTAAAAGCAATATAAAAATTATAAACCAAAGTTCCTATACTTACTTTTTGGAATTATGAGTTAATGTAAAGCTTCTAGATAAAGACAATGAAAGTTGTACATAAGATGCTAATGAAGTATCCATTGAATTAATAATTGTATATAACATATATTTCCTGAAGTGTCTTGTGCTGGTTTTCAATATATCAAACAGAATGACTTATGTCTAATTTTATTCTTGAATCTACTAAAAGATGAAAAGTGTAACTAAGTTCAGGTGACCTTTTCAAAGTCAAGGGGAAACATTTATCATCTCTGCAGTTATCTCATTCTCAAGTTAAATATAAGTAGCCATTTCCAAACATAAGCGTTTGTGAACTGGAGTTCAGGGTAACATTGATAGAGCACATGTATGTTAAAGATGCCACAGTGTGGTTGGAATTTCCAGGATGAGGACAGTTCGCATATTGAAGATACAGAGACAAATTATTTTTACCTCTCTTATTTATCATTTATTGCCCTATCCCTGTGTCTGATGTTATATCCATGTGATTATCATATGAAGCCTTTGTGGGATGTATTGACTGAACTTTCCAAATACTAAGAATGCTATCAGATAGGATCGGAGCCTTCAAAAGAGAATTCCATGCTTTGCTGTCATCAAGTTACTTCACATTTCCACAGATACATTTGAGAAGCTCCTTATTCATGACTTCCTGTGTTCTCCAACTATAAACACCACTAACTGCCGCCATGTTGGAACTTGATACGTGGATGACCTGAGTCTGTGTTCTCATCATGGTGATTCATGCTTGATTACAGATTAAACCCTCTTATTTCCTCTAAGGTAAGGGTTTTGTTTTAGGTTAACAATATAGTTGTTGTCTTTTTCTTCAGAAAAGTTAACTGGTTTACTAAGAAAGTGATATGCTAAGAAAGTCGTTCATACCAAATACTCTTATGAAAAATGTATGTAATCCAACTCCAAGGGATTTCTCTTCAGACTTCATACACCTGAGAAACAATACACACATAAATTAAAGTACATCATGCAAACACATATCTGTCCTAGCATCCTCCCAATGACAGTCATGGTTCACGATCCTGGTGGTTAAGCCTTTTATCCTGATAAGAGAGGATAATATAACTCTACTGTTAAGCACACACAGAGAAAGGAGAGTATGACTTATGAAAACTGTCCTGTGACCTCCACACCTCTGATTCAAGGCACAGCCTTTGACTGCTAACCTCGATGAATAGCTTCCTGTTCGGGGAGGCTGTTCATTGATTCCAAGCTTCCTAGACATGAAATAATCACATAGAAACTATATTATTTGCAATGCTGTTTGGCCAATAGCTTAAGCATATTTCTACCTAGCTCTTATATCTTACACTAATGCATCTCCATTAATCGGTGTATCTCCATGTGGCTGTGATTTACCTGCAAGGTTCCAGAATGACTGTCTCCTGCAGGTGGCTACATAGCTTCTCTCTGCCTCCACCTAATCTCTATCTATAGCTTTTTCAGCCTGGATTTACTTTGTTAAGTCACTGACTGAAAGCAGCTTCTTTGTTAGCCAATGGCAATAAAATATATTCACAGCATACATCACCTCCCACATCAACTTCCTGGTTACCATGGTGATCACCATGCTATATCACAAATAATGGACCCAAACCTTTGAAGTCACAAATCAAATAAATTTTCTTCTCTTAAGTTGTTTGCCAGACATTTTGTCAATTTCATAAAAAATCTAATGCATCTTATATTAAAATTCAAGATATAGTAAAGGCAATCCCACAAATAAACAGAGAAAGAATCCATCATATAGGCTATGCCATTAAAAAAAGGCCTTTGATATATGGAGTTAACAACTTTAGACATTTATCTTTCCTATACTGCCTGCAAAATTAAACAATATGGTTTTCAGAATTAAATACAAAAGAGAGGCTTATAAAGCAGTCAGGATAAAAACTGAAAACTATTTTTATAAATTAGGAGTGTGGAAGTTTTTTTAAGATGTGTTCTTTCCCCACCAAACACACCCTTGTATAAGAAAAGCATAATAAATGGAACTGGTAGGATTTCATTTTGAAAGTGATTCCTTGGAAGAGTTCGAGAAAACACAACAGACTAGAAGAGTGATAACAGTGTGCAAACAGTAGGACTGTATTATCAATCATTGACACAGCAATCATCACACTCAGCAAAATAGTGCAAGGAAATACGAGAAAAATAATCTGAATAGACATGAACCCCATTGCATCAAGAAATTACACATTAGGGCCTAAAAGATGGTTCAGTGGATAAAAATTCTTGCCACCAAGACTGATAAACTGAGTTCAGTATCTAGAACTCACATGATTGCAGATAATCAGCCCTTACAAGATGTCTTCTCATTTTAACATACACACCATGGCGTGAAAATTCAAACACACACACACACACATACACACACACACACACATACACACACAGTCACACACACAGAATGATTTTAAAAATCACACATTAAAACATCAATGACACATTTTTTTACACCCAGTTTAAGTGTTAACTTAAGAATTAAGGTAATTGAGACAGTAAGTGAGACATGGAAGTGGAAACAGTCATGCAGTAACATGGGAGTATCTCTTGAGAATGTGTTTAGAGAATCCAATAGGATAGTTCAGTCACTCATATATCCTTTACTTTGTCTATCCTCCTCTATAATGAAAACTTGTCCTTTCAGTTGAACATGCTGCTTTGGAACAGGGACACCTGTAGTACTGAGGGAGAAAAGCAGCCCTATGTAGCCACATCAGCTGAATCAGTCTGAAACAAGATGAGGTGACATGTCACAACCAAATCTCACTCATTTGTAAGAATATGTCTTAAGAACTAGTAATACTTGGTAAAAATTTTTCTGTCTGTGAACCTATGAATTAAAACAAGACATTTAGCACATCTTCACTTGTGTTAATATAAAAATATAACATCTTACCCTGGAAAAATGAATATATAAGAAGATATACCTAGCCTATTCCAGTGATTATTTATGGTGGGCAGAAGTAGAGGAAAGGAAGAACCAAAGCAATGGATGAAAATGTAGAGGAGAGAATGGAGAGAAGAGAAAGACAGGGAAGGAAAGATGAAAGAAGAGGGGATGGGAAGGGAAAGAAGAGGAAATGAGAAGTGAGAGGAGAAAAGAAGAGGGAAGTGAAGGAGGAGGAAGAGAAGAAGAGGGTGTGGAAAGGGAATGTGGGCAAAGAAACAGAAAAGTACAATTGCCTATAAGGAAGAAGTGACAACCTTAGTTCTATTTATGAGGAAAAAATGTTACAAAATACACATCGCAGTTAACTCAACTTTCCTTCTGAATTCCAATGAGACAAGAAAAAGAGTGTTGAACTGTTTTTCCCATTTGTAGTGGAATTCTAGGTAGTGGAAATCTAGTGAAGATTTCTAGGCTGGAAAGAACACTTGCAAAAAGAGAAAAAAAAACCTTGAAGCTTGTCTCTTCAATGTTCTCATTTTATGTTAGAGAGTTGGGTATTGTTGCATTTTTATACCTACTTCTTAGTGAGTACCTGCTATTGCATTCATGTGTATCCTGGTTAGCTAGTATCTATTATTGCACATATGTTTTCTGTTTGTTTGTTTGTGAGAAGTTGAAGTCAGAATGTCAGAGGAGCCCCGTCACTTTTACACAGAGACTTGCATCTTCTGCCAGTCAGTTAGTTGACCCCAGGAAATGAGTGTTAAACATCTCCTCTCTTCCGGCCAAACAAGAATTCCCTTACTGTAGATTTAAGACATAAGGGTATAAAATAGGAAAGGACAGGAAGGAAAATTTCAGAAAACTTTAAATTACTGTGAAATATAGCAATACTCACTGTATGTTTCTTGTTAAAGGTATCTCAGCACACTGAGGTTTTGAGAACCATTACTGCAGTGGTCTTTCTTGGGAAAAGGAATTTTAATAAGTGACCAAAAAATCTAAATGGCATTGGAATGATTCTCTTTGTGAAAAGGTGCTTGCCACAAAGGCTAGATGACCAGAATTTAAACCCAAGAACCTGGAATATATGTCAAAACAAAGCAAAAGAAAAGAGCTCAATTCAATGGCATGCATCTGTAATCCTAGCATTCCCATAGTAAAATAGGAGAAAAGAGAATTGCTTGGACCTTGAAGGCCAGGTAGACTGGAGTACACAGCAAGTACAGCGGCAGAAATAAGAGAGAGCCTGTCTCAAAAACAGGGTAAACGGAGAGAACTGATTCCCATCATTATCTTCTGGGACCAAAAAATTCTGTGTTCTTGGTGGAGTCAAGAGTCAGACACACACACACACATACGCACATGCACATGCACACGCACACACACACACACACACACACACACAATTATGCCCTCTCTTATGCACACACAACTAAGAAGGAAGAAGAGAATGCTAACTGAAAGAGCTATTTATTACCTCAGAAGAACCATATACCCAGGTATGACTGCCAGTGAGAAGATGAAACAGCCGAAGACTGACACGATTAAAAAGTACTGTAGCTTGATAGTGCAGTCAGGGCTTTTGTTACACAGCCCAAGGACTGCAGTTGAGCTTCCTGAAGACTGAATGCAGCTGCAGTTTTGAAACACCTATAGAAAAAATACTAAGTCTTATTTGTAGAAGAAAAATATTGGGCGCAAACCTTCAGTATTTTCTACATAGCTAGTTATATCAAAATGGAGAGTTTGGGGGCTAATGATATAACTCAGAGGAAGAGCACTCATCGAGCATTAATGAGGACCAAAGGAGAGCACAAACACCATTAAATAAATACTAAATGCTAAGTAAGATGGAGGACCTCCTCCCCTTTACTTCCATCTTTCTTTTTTTGTATCTCAGAATTCTATCACAAAGTATAAAGGGGGAGATTTTTCAAAATTGGTGTTTTATTTTTCAAAATACAAGAAGCGAATTTTTAAAACTTCAATTATCCTGATTGCACACTTCACTTGTTCATTTGTTTGCTTGTTTATTTGTTTTTGTTTCTTGTGGAAATTTATTCAGCCAATACCCTTCTGGGCACTGTCCTATCAGGGTGTGGTCTGAATTTTTATAAGCGCAGACAAAATGCTTGCTGGCTGTATCTTAGCTGGTGCTCTGGATTCTGTGCACAGCTCTCAGTGCCCACAGAGCAGAGGACGGCAGCATCATTCTTATTGTGAGTGTTCCCCAATAAACATTTGTTAGCTTTTATCGTGGGCTCTCATGGACTCTCTTAATTACATCTACATTGTTGCTTCTAGTATCCACATGACCAAAGTCTGCAGTTCTCCCCGCTGCAACTGCGTGATACCCCATGCGGCTAAGCACCTGTGCGACTAACCACCCATGCGACTTCTATTCACAGTGGCTTAGCTTTCTCCCAGGCCCCACCCGCTCCACACCCATGACTGTGGCTCAGGGGCTCAACCTCTGCTTGACCACTGCACAGCTACCCTGATCGGCATCTGAGCATGTTGTCTACTCTTTTTCCTCTTTTTCTTGAACAAAAATCTTTTCAGTATGGTTTTGAGTTCTACTTAGTAAATCTATAGGTTAGCAACTTTGGTACAAGTAAGATGGGAACTCCAGCATTCCTGGACCAGTTTGGTGGTACAACTCTGAAACTTGCTGGCCAACACTGTTGTTACTATACTTTAAACGCTCAGTAGCCACTTAAACCAACTAACTGAACACTAGCTCCACCTGCTGGTCACTCAATATTATTACACCAAAAGCAATCTGAAGGTTTCTGATAGATATTATTTTGATTAATAACTAAATAACCACATTAATAATAATTTATTTCTGAAATTCTTAAATCATAACTAAGATAATCTCATATAATACCACCATTTAGGAATTTAACAACCTTTTGTTTCTACTATGGATAGAATTCTAGAAAAGCTATATGACCTACCTGGAAAGTATACATTCTTAACATAGCTGCTATTAGCTTGATAGTTCATATTACGTCCTTAAATAAATGGTTTGATAACAAAATCAAGAATGAGAAATGTATTGAAATAATATATAGACTTTACAGACTGGGAATGAGAAGTTATCTGAAAGGCTCCATACTGTTCGAATTGACAATCAAAATCTGTTAAAAAGTTATGACAAGCTAGCCAATAGAACATCCCTCCTGGAAGGCAATCTACACACTACCCAAATAATCTTTAATGATGAAAAGATATCATTAGTGGATGAAACCCAGAAATTATTTGATTGATAAAATTTAAAAATATTCACAGGTCAAAAAATTTATACTCCACAAAACACAATGATAGAATAATTTTAAACCATGGCACAACTTGTCGTAATTGATAAGTAATGAGATGGGGCAAATACAAAAGACAATAGTAAAGACTTACTATTACTCTTGTAATAGTACCTCTCAGAGTCAGAGATAACTTAACAAGAATTTTAACTACTTACGCTGTTACTATTTCTGAAAAATAAGAAAATATTAAATAGCCAAAAGAATATATAGAATGTAAAAGAGAGCCTGTATGCATGAAAGATCTAAAACATATTAAGGAAGCATTAGTTTCTTATGGCATGCATTCACTTTATGTGAGGCAGTTAGTGAAGAAATGGGCTTCAAAAAATAAGATCACTCCGCATGTTGGCTTCAACTAGTCTCATCAGTAATAGACCATGGTCCACAGCCATAGTTATTGGAGAAAGGAAGTCAAGGTCCTTGAACATCAATGTAGGGTCAGATATTTTGAAGCTTTCCAAGGTCAAATTCTTGATCAGGGCTATTATGCTGATACAGACAGTCGAGCTGTATACAATGAACATCTTGTCCCTATGCCATACAACAGCTTTGAATGTTTGAGATAAGATTCAAGACTAGGAAAAGAAATTGTATCATACAATAAATTTATACATGGATGAAGAGAACACTTTAGTGACTTTTTGCAAAGATTTACTATGACTGTACAAATAAGAATAGTAAATCTAGAAGTTAGACGAGTACTTCTTGAATCTCCAGCTTTTTAAAATGATAACTCAGAATTTAAAAAAAAAATACTTGGCCCTTTGAAGGTCAGATAAGCAGCAATGGATGAATGGATCCAGCACATAGTCAATGTTGAGTTTCTTGACTCACTGAGGCTTGGATAGGAGAAGAGATTTTCAAAGATATGAAGAGACATAAAAATACCAAATGTTTTAATTGAAGTAGAATAGGCCATCTGAGTAGGGATTGTAAACAGGTTGCTCCTAGAAATAGTGTTTCTTCTGGGAATAACCCAATTAGAAGACCACAACCTGTTTGATTATGCAGAAGATGTGACAAAGCCAGCATTAGATCAGTGAATGTAGATCAACATGAGACAAACAAGGCAATCCATTACCATCAGGGAACTCCATGGGAGGGGGCCTCTCACAGGCCCCCAGGTCAAAAGTAGTCTAGTCTTTCTCTGTTACTGTAGAGGACATGCTTTCCCATGAAAATTAGAAAGCCTAGTGCCTGTTGTAAAAAAATGTACTGCACTGGACAGAATGACAGAATAACAATGAGTGATGAATTAAATATTCCAGTTGAAAATAGCAAGTGTATATTTTGGCAGACTTCTATAAATTATCAAAGCCAAAGCTAAAAGTACAAATAAATAACATTGTAATTGAAGTATTATTAGATACAGGTACAGGTGTGACTATTATTACTTCAGAATCTTGGCATCTGAATTGGCCTCTTAGGAGGCAGATGTTCAATTCCTAGGAATTAGAACCCTATTTCAGGTAAAATAAAGTACAAGATGGGTTCAATATTTTGGGCCAGAAGTATAGAGAGCAGTGGCTAGGACGTATGTGGCTAATATAGCAGTAAATCTATGGTGCCATGGTCTGTTGCAGCAATAAAATGCTCAGATTAACATCCCTGCAGTTTCTGTAGTCTCATAAATGTACAATAAACTACCTCATGTTTCTGGGAAGACAATTATAAAGCCTAATTTAAAAGTCACTGAATATTTAGGCTGTACTAAAATATAGAACAACAATTGGCAAACTCTCAGAGGTACCAACAGCCCTAACTTTAAAATTATTAACTTAGAAACCTTTATGGGTTAAGCAATGACCATTAACAAAAGGGAAACTACAGTCTTTAGAACAGCTGATGTTGGAACAACTAGATACTCAGCATACTTAAGACTCAACCAGCCCTTGCAATCTCTTGTATTTGTTGTTAAAAAGCAATCTGGAAAATGGAGAATGGTAACGGGTCTAAGAACTGTCAATACATTGATCAGCCAGTGGGTTCTCTACAATCCGAAATTCCTTTGCCTTTCCTATTTCCTAAAGGATGGCCTCTTATAGTCACTGATTTAAAAGATTGTTTCTTCACTATACATATACAAAAGGACAGAGAAAAATTTTGTCTTCACAGTGCCTACTTATAATTATCAGTCTGCTTAAAGATAACAATGGAAAATTCTTTCACAAGGAATGTTAAATAGCCCAATCCTGTGCCAATTATTTGTAGTTCAGCCATTATAAATGATGCATAAGCAGTTTCTTCAATCTATAATTTATCATTACATGGATCACATTTTACTATCTGACTCAAATGTAGATACTTTAGAAAGAATGTTTGAAGAAGTAAAAAAAAATTTTGTCTACATGGGGATTACAAATTGCTTCTAAAAATACAAAGAGGAGATTCTACAAATTACTGAGGTTATAAAATAGGTTTAAAGAAAATTAGACCCCAAAAGGTACAAATTAGGATAGATTGATTGCAGACTCTTAATGACTTCCAAAGATTGTTTGGAGACATTTACAATCTACAGCCCACTCTTGGTATACATCCCAATGACCTGATTAATTTAAACAAAATCTTAGAGGGTGACAAGGACTTAAAAAGTCCCAGGAGATTATCAGCTGAAGCTGAGAGAGAATTTACTTTGATTGAAGAGAAATTACAGAAATCACACGTGCATCCTGTGGATCCGAGTCTTAACTTCATTATTGTCATATTAATTTTCAAATATTCCCCTATAGTAATTTTAATGCAGAGGGAAAATATTATCTTAGATTGGATATTTTTACCACGTAAACTGTGTAAAAAATTAAAAGCTTACATGAAAAAGGTCTCTGAGTTAGTTATAAAAGGAAAATTTAGATTTTATTAATTAATGGGAATAGACAAAAAATAGTACCTTTTAGTAATGATGAAATTGACAAATTATGGGAAGAAAGTAAACTCTGACAAAGATCTTGCAGTAATTTGGGGGGAGAGATTAACAACTGATATCCCCAAAGCAAGAAAATTCAATTTATAAAGAGAACTAATTGGATCCTTCCTCAAATTGTATAAGACATACCAATAGTTGGGACCTGCATTCTATACTGATGCAAGTAAATCAGGAAAGACAGGTTACAAATCAGAAAATTTAAGTTAAGTGGAACAAAGTCCCTACTATTCTGTCCAAAAGTCAGAATTATATGTTATTGTCATGGTACTAAGGGTTTTTAAAGAACCTCACATAGTTATTGATTTTCAATGTGTAGGAAGAGATGCTTTGTATATTGAAACTGTTGAACTTTTGCCAGATAATACAGAGTTGACTTTATTATTTATTCAGGTACAAGTTATAATCAGGAATAGGCATCATCCCATATATTTGATACACAATCTATACTGTATAGGTCTGCCAGGTCCTCCAGCACAAGGTAATGCAGAAATTGATCAATTATTGATTAAGAATGTGCTGAAGGTTTCAGAATTTCATAAGAAATATCACATAAATAGCAAAGGTTTATAAAAGGACTTTTCCATCACATGACAACAAGAAAAAGGAGACTAAAAGGACCTACTTGTTCTTCCACAACCAAACACCACTACCTTCAGGACATAACCCAAAGGGTACTCAAAGAAATGAAATCTGGCATATGGATAAGGTCTTTGTTGTAGAATTTGTAAAACTAAAACATGTACTCCACACGATTGATACCTATTCAGGTTTTCAAGGGTCAATGGCTTTGAGTTTGCAAAAGAATGATTTAGTAATCACACATTTACTAGAAGTTATGGCCATCATGGGTATACCTGCATAGATAAGAACAAACAACATTCCAGCAAATAGTTCTAAGGAAATAAAGCAGTGTTTTGCTAATTTTAATATAAAGCACATTACAGGCATGCCACATAGTCCTATGATGTGGGAGTCCCCTCTCTGTGTTGCTTGTATTGGTTAATGAATAAAGAAACTGACTTGGCTTGATAGGGCAGAACTTAGGTAGGTAGAAAAGACAGAACTGAATTCTGCAAGGAAGTAAGCAGAGTCAGAGAGACACCATGGATCCACCAGAGACAGATGCTGAGAACTGTACCCTATAAGTCACTGCCACATGGTGGTTCACAGATTAATAGAAATTAGTTAAGTTACGATATAAGAATTAGCCAATTAGAAACCAGAGCTAACGGGCCAAACAGTGATTTAATTTATACAGTTTCTGTGGGGTTATTTCAGGTCTAAGCTAGCAGGGCAGCTGGGATGAATAAGCAGACCCTCCTTGCAACAGTCCTATTGGGGAGGGAATTATAGAAAGATCAAATTGAACTCTAAATGATATGACAAATAAAAAGAAAGGGATGGTAAATACACTCACAAAAAGATTGCTTAATGCTTTATTAACCTTGAATTTTCTTAATGCTAATAAGAAAGGAACAACAGCTACAGATAGACACTGGACAATAGAACAAACTTCTTAATTAAATAAGCTAGTGTACTGCAAGAATGTGCTAACCTCAGAATTGGAGCCAGGAGATGTGTTATGTTGAGGAAGAGGGTTCACTTTTGTTTCCACAGGAGAATAAAAGCTATGGACATCATCAAAATTAATCAAGGTTCAGTTTGAAAAGGAAAGCCTCTCGATAATGAGAAATGAAAAATCCATGTTTGCCTCTCTTAGTGTCCTCATTATTGTCTAGGTTCTCTGGAATTATGATTTGTAGGCTGCTTTTCTTTGTTTTATGTTTTAAAACCACTTATGAGTGAGTAGATGTGATAATTGCCTTTCTGGGTCTGGGTTACCTCACTCAATATGAAGTTGTCTAGCTCCATCCATTAGCCTGCAAATTTTAAGATGTCATTTTTTCTGTTGTGTAGTACTCCACTGTGTAAATGTACCACATTTTCCTTATCAATTCTACATGGGAAGTAGAAAAAGACAAAATCTCCTGAGGAAATTGAGAGCATGGGACCATGAGAGAGGGTTGGATGGAAGGGGTGAGGAAGGGAGGGGAGCAGAGAAAAATGTATAGCTCAATAAAATCAATAAAAATGATAATATCAAACAATAAACAAAAAAACAGAGAGAAAGAGAAATGACAGCTCATCCACAGAGGTGACAATCCTACAAGTTGTAAGAATGCTTCACAAGGGTTGGAACAGGTTTCTGTTCTTGGCTTTGCAAGAAAAAAGAAAATACCCATTTTCAAGAGGTCATGAGACCTTGGGCATCTAGACGCTTAAAGAAGAAATGATAGTTAGCCAGAAAGAATCAACAAGCAAAGAATAGTCTGACTTATGATATCAATATTCTCTGCTGAGTAAAATCTCACTACCTAAGCATACATATCTTTTTACTTCTCAGTACTAGTCCTGAAACACATAAAAGTCAAAATTGAATTTGGAGTTGTACAGTGACTCTCCTCTAAATTCAAGCATGTTGTTAAAATAAGTTTTGGTTTTTGTCTCATATTAAGAGAGCCATCTGGTGTGGGCCAGAAGGAAAATAAAAATCTAGGGACTAAGTTTCTCAAAGCTCTGTTTTTAAAAATTCATTTTCTCCCCATACCTATTTTTATCTCTATGGTACCTTTCTTTTAATATACTAAAAGATCAGCAAGTGTACTTACAGCTAAGCTAGCTCTCCAGCTAATTCTGGGAATTTTAACTTCATTAATTTGTATAATAATTTCAGCTGCTTTGAAATTACAAAGTAATTTTCAGATTCTGTCAAGGTTTTACATAATATCTATAAATTATAAGTTTAAATATACATATGAAAAGTAGTTAGTGGTTCACAAAAATATGTTACTGCATTTTAAGCATGGACTAATTTTTGTTTGTTAGTAGATGTGGGCTTAGATCATAGCACATATTAATACAGCACACAAAACATCACTTCAAACACGGAAAGGGTGTATACCATGTTGATTCCTGTTCCATCAGAGTTTTCACAGCCTGCAAGGCAGGCTGACATGTATGATAGGCCGTTGTCTCCACACACTGGATCCCACGTTTTAGTTAAACAGTTACACTTTTTGTTGCACTCTGCAAGAATATTTTTCTTCACATACAAAGGCTGTTGAATTCTTAAATGATCAAAAATAATGTTATTGATTCTGAAGTACCATGCAAACTCTTTATTTTCTTATTTTCATAAACATACGCACGTGCATGCACACATACAGACACACACACGCAGACAGAAAGACAGACAGACAGATGGGCAGAGATACAAAAGACACACACACAGGGGGAGAGATGTGTGTGTGTTTGTGTGTGTGTGTGTGTGTGTGTGTGTGAGAGAGAGAGAGAGAGAGAGAGAGAGAGAGAGAGAGAGAGACCTCATCTAATTCCCCAGAACAAAACCAGAAATCATCCAAATATCAATGTGTGATCTCGATATTTTGTTTTTTTGACCTAAAAGTTATCTGTTCCAGTGTTCACATTGCTGCTTTTTCAATTACTTCAGAAATAAACTTCAATTACTTTCCTACCATATATGAAAAAAACTCTGCTGTTGGAGCTTTAAAAAAAATGGAGATTGTAATTTGTCATTGATCTGCACGATGGGCTGACCTGTAGAAACGCAGTTTCCATTTATAAGATATATATAAGATATATATGTGGTTTGAGTAACCATATATGCTGTTCTGCAATAGAGCGTGCCCCATATTGGCAATGGGACTGAAAGATGATAGTGAGGAAGCTAGAGTCTGAATTCAAATTCTGTCACTCAAGCCTAGTGTAGAGGTCAGCATGACTGGAGATGGAGTCAGTATACAGAATTCTACTATGGTATTTTTGAAGCCACTTTCTGAAAATTTATTAATTCACCATGAGTTTTATTCTCTACATCTACAAAGTAAACAGAATAATTACTTTCTCAAAAAGAGTTTCAAATGAGATAATGTAAATAATTATTCATGCTTTTATAGTGAAATTATTCAAATTTAAAAATTTTAAAGATCTTTAAAAATCTTTAAAAGAAAGGTCTTTTCTTTTAATCTCAGCCCCCATCTCTCTCTCTTACACATTTACATACACACACTCACATGTGTGTGTCTCTGTGTGTTCATGTATGTAAGCACACATACAACAGCATGCATGTGGACGTCAGAAGATAATCTTCCACCTTGTTGGAGACAGAGTCCCCTGTTGGTCACTGCTGCAAATGTCCAACTAACAGACCTGTGACCTTTCAGGTTTTCCTGCTGTGGCTCCCAGTTCATAGTAAGAGTGCTGGGATTTCAGATACTGTACCATGTAAAACTTTACATGGATTCTGGGAATCTGAGCTCAGGTCCTTCTGCCAGTCCAGCAAATACTTTACTGTGCTCACCCTCTGGGGCATGGATCCACATAAAACCCTAAAAAGCACTAAAAAAAAGAGGGCTTCTAGACCCATAAAAATGGGAACCAAGCACAGTTTCTTTGTAGTCACAAGTTTTTCCCAGATGGGCTGGCATTTCAACTGGTTAGTTAACAGATTATATAACTGTGCTCTAAACAAAGTTCTACATTTCCCATGCTAATATAGAATATGATCAGGGAACTCTTAAAATACAAAGTCTAAGACTATGGTGTACATGAGATGTAACTATACTAGTGATTTATTCATATATGTATATATACAATATGTATATACACATTATATATAATAATATATATTATAATATTGTATATATATTGACTCATCAGTATTAGATTCAATTATTCTAAATTTGCCCACTGTAGAAACATATAATGTTTTTTTGGTATGTATGGTCAACCTTTAAAGCAGTCTGTTGTTATATAGTCAACATTTAAAGCTATCTGGTGTTTAAATACATGTATAATTTAAGCTAGAAAGCTCCAGGAAATTTTCTTTATTAAACTTTAAAGCACACCACCATGGATAAATGCAAATAAGTTGTAGTAAAATGACCTGGACATGTACAATCCTTGGAGAAAATGGACTAGCAATTGTGAAAATCATATTTTCTTCCATAGGAAATAACATACCGTTCATGTTCATAAGATGCAGTTAAGCCAGCAACTGGGAAATTATCACAAGTCCACATATAGTTCAAGAAAAATAAAAGGTACTCAATCAGGGATAAAGAGAAAGCTATGCATGCAGCTTTCTTGACAGTTATCTTGAACTTTTTCATAATCAAGCCACCAATTAAATATCCAATGCATATTGGAGGTAAGCTATAAACACCTATAAATGCAAATAAAATAGTATTCATAAAAGAGAAGAAAATGCTATCAATTTTTAATACATTTTATTTAAGGTATTATTTGTTTCTAATATAAAGTGATTCTAACTTCCAGTCAATCACATAATTCAAATATCCCATAAATGTCACTTTAAAAATACACTTGGCATTAATTAATTATTTGAAGCAAGTTATAAACACCTTATAACATCTCTCTCTCTCTCTCTCTCTCTCACACACACACACACACACACACACACACACACACACACACTATGTACTTCTTTCCACTCAATTTAGAATTTGACTTGTCTCTAAGTAATTTTGGAGGTCACTGCTGAGTCCATACTCATCAAGTGTAGGAGTTTCTGTGCACTGGCTATGTTACCCAGAATTTTTCCTTCCTGAATCACTTCTCTAGCCAAAAATCAAAGAAAAAGGTACAAAAGGAAATGAAAGAGAAAATCCTGCCTAGGTTGCATTCATACAACAGCAGCCCCAGACTTGGAAAAATTTTTAGTCCTCTTCAGTTCCATGCAGTTGCATTTAATTTTATCCAGGGTAGGGACTGGGATTTGGTTTTTCAGAGAACTGCAGATAATGTGGTTGCTTGCAGCCTATGATTGTGAGTTTTCAAGAGTAAATGAATCCAGGAAAGACCCAAAGATAGGTAGGATCCCTAGATTTGGTACACTAATAAGAAAGGCAGAATGTGGTTGTCCAAATTACTCAGACCACCAGGAAACCAAGTGATCAAACTAGAAATAATGTGTAAAACAAGAATTGAAGCCCAGAAATAAAACCTGAGAGTAAGATACATAATCCCAGTGACTGAAATTTATATTCTTCTTTGAATTAACATATTGACTATTTAAAAATTGACTGACATAAAAACTCCCAAATATTTCCATAATGATGATGATATTCATTCAGATTGGAGAAAGAACCGAGATGGTATTTCTGGCCTCTTCCTTTACCTACCCATTCTTGATTTACCTAGAGACTGGAAAGAAGAAATTTACAAGTATGTTAGCAATGTTAAATTATCTTACAGTTTCCTGGTCACATCATCACCCTGTTAAGCAAGTCCTTGGGGATACTGTTCATCATATCCCTGGAGAAAGAGGAAGTACTACTACTAATGAAATAATAAAAATACATACCTATGAGAAAGATTATCTCTGCAGTTGATTTTCCATATTGCTGTTCCAGGTATTTTGGCATAAAGGTAAAAGTCATGATAAATGAATTGACCTGGAGCACACTTAAAAGTATGAAAAGCACATAAATCGGATTGCAGGAGAGGCTTTTCATGAATGGCAAGAAATCTGAAACAAGAGAGTGTCGAGACCATTAACATAACCTGGCCTTGCATTTTGTGTTCAGTGTTCTCTTACAATTTTATAAATTCTGCATTGTGACACAAATGCAGTTGATAATGTTTTACCCCATTGGGCTAAAGTTCTAAATCATTGTTTAAGGTGCTTATGGAAGTTAGTGCCACAACTGGCTGTGTAAGAGAATGAGAATCCAGATATGTCATCAGGCAACATATAAAGACTTGGCATCCTATCTATGGTTACACTCTTTTATTTCTTTTCCCATTTTTTTCTGCTAATATCCTGCATTAACTAGAGAGTTACTAGCTTTTTCCTCTTGAATCTGCAAGGGACTCTCTTTGACAAAGTTTGAGTTCAGATAGTGATGCTATAGTCCTTGATATAAAAACAGATAAGCTAAAATGTTAAGAAAGCTCCAGAAATCCTGCTGCAGTTTAGCCAACCACAGCATTCCTACTGGATTTCACAACATTAGAAAGCACATAGTGATATTTTTAAACATCTCAACACATGTGTCTCACACTAATAAATGCCTACGCATTTGTTGTATTCTATGTACCTTCCAACTAATGTCATTAGAACTCCTCCTTGATTAAAAGGTGAAAGTCTAGTTTTAGACTGTCTGTAGTAAATGGATTGGATCTCACAGAAGATAACAAACTTCACACTTAGTAATCTCTTTTTTTGTCTCTATGTTTTCTATCTTGATTTTCTAACTTTTTATAATTCTTAATAAATTGCCTAAAATTTTTGAGAGTAAAGCTTCAAGAAGAAACCACTAAAAAGTATAGGTATAGAAATTTAACAAAATGAAGTAAAGTTTGGGGACAAAATCTCTTTGTGAATGAGAGGGTTACAATCAGAATTCCCAGAAGCTTTTGGACATCTCTGTTCTCCCAAATAAGTTTCCACAATTTACGTTGATTTTCTATATGTCTTATACTATGCTAAATTCCTTCCTAGTTTTGAAAATCTTTTTGACCTGGCAGACTACACAATCACACACAACAATCAATATTAGCCCTTTCAGGAAAATCCTTAACATGACCATGATTCTAAGAATGCTAAAGCCTCTGAAATGGTTTACAGTGTGACTAGCCCAATCATTGGTCAATAATGATTAAGGCAAATGTGTGCTTAGTATGGGAGGTCCTTCTGTCTATGTATTGCTTTTATTGGTTAATGAATAAAGAACTGGCTTGGCCTATATTATGGGAAGAGAAAGGCAGAGTTAGAGAAATGCCATGGAGCTGTCACCAGAGATAGACATGCTGAAATTTTGCTGGATGGCCATGACCTCGTGGTGATGCACAGATTAATAGAAATGGGTTAAATTAATATGTAAGAATTAGTCAATAAGAAGCTAGAACTAATGGACCAAGCACTGATTTAATTAATACAGTTTCTGTGTGATTATTTTGGGTCTAAGCTAGCTGGGCAGCCCGGAAGAAAAAGTGGTCCCTCCTTTTCTACAAATTGGCACCAACATGGGTAACTACATCCATGTAAAATCTGATAGGGAGTGAAAAGAAATTCTAGACAAAAAAATACAGAATTTAACACAGCTTCTTGTTGTTTGCTGGTGGCATGCTGCAGGTCATTTAAGAGAAGTTCTTCTTTTGGTTTCACAGAAGATGAGAACCTTTCAGACCAATATGGTTTGATGGAAAAAGACTCCCTGAAAGATTGCTAGGAACACCGTCCCCCCGCCAAATTACTTGCCCAACTGATGACTGAGATGAACCCAGCACACAGGATACACTATGAAAGACAAGGTTAACAGTGCCCTAAAGAGCAGGAAGCAATTTGGATAAAAGTACATCCATATTCCCAAATATTGTCTATAAATGTTGACATTTAAAGGGGGATATGATATAGATATGAATAATTTGCATTGGTATAGATCTTGGTTTATTGATACAAATTTAAGTTCAATTTTTATATGTATATTTATGATCTTGATTAAGGTATTGTGTTTGTGTATCTCATTAAAATGTAATGTATAATTAAGAAATACAGGTTAATAGATAGTTATCTATAACAGTCAAGCTTGTAGTCATGTTAGGTAGATTTTGCAGATGTACAGAGATGTATTTCAGATATGTATGTATTCTTCAAATCTTTTAGAAACTTTCAGAATATGGCATTTAAAATTGTTGAGAAATCAGGACTTTTCAGGACAGTAAAACATATTTGTTCCTGGCAGCACCAATGTACTTCAAGAGGAAGATGGGCTTTGAAGAGGCTCCTTATGGAATTTGATAGCCATTTGGGCAAGAAACTCCTAATTCCTGGACTGGACATGCAGGACTCATAGAGAAATGACTGCTGAATTTGTCTAAAGGTGAGATGGTCCTTCAGGATTCCTGCTACATGAAAGAGTCAGATAAATATTCTGCAGGACACAGAAGAAAGTGACTGACAAACTGCAAATATAGGCAGAACTGTCTTTGAAATTTCCTGCTTCATGGAAAAGTCTGCCAGATACTATGGGCCTGTAGGCCAAAGATGGATGCCCCAATGGTACAGAAGAACTATGGGTGACTGTACAGGTAGCAAGATGTCTCTGTCATTTCTAGAGTTTTGAAAGTTGATAACAAGGCACTTCTTGTTTACTTAGGTAATATCATATCCTTCTGGAGTCTTTGATGGAGTTGAAGAATCTATAGTTATAGTTTTAATTAGTTATGATAAAAGATAAAGTAGATATAAATATTGAATCTGTAATTCTTATATGATACCTGTTTTGTTATATGTAATTTTACCATGTTAAAATTAAAATTTTCCTTTTTGTTTGAACAGAAAAAGGGAAATGGTGTGGGAGGTCCTTCTGTTTGTGTGTTGCTTTTATTGGTTAATTAATAAAGAACTTGCTTGGCCTATAGCATGGGAGGAGGAAGGTGAAGTTAGAGGGACAACCATGGAGCAGCTGAAACTTTGCTGGTATGCCACAACCTCATGGTGATGTACAGATTAATAGAAATGGGTTAAATTAATATAAGAGTTAGCCAATTAGTATCTAGAGCTAATGTGGCAAGCATTGATTTAATTAATACATTTTTTGTGTGATTATTTTAGATCTAAGCTAGCCAGGCTACCAGGAAGAACAAGCAGCCCCTACTCCTACATGTGATTATTCAGTGCATGATGGTATTGGAGGTTATGAGTGGTAGAAGAAATAGAGATATCACCAATAAAATGTTCCTCACAGTAATCTGCACCAGAATATCACAGAAACCCTCATTTGACAGGAAAAGAAATAGCTCCTGCCTATCCTTCAACTATATTTTTTTAAGAATTTCAGAGCTCATGCCATGCCCCTCTTGTACTAACTCAAATCTCTAGAGAATACTACAGAGGTCACCTGCATACAAGTGTGAAATTAGTGCCAAGATTCAGCAATAGTCAGTCTTGACCACTCAGCTTCTCACAGATACACCACTGCTCTGCACCAGAGGTTGATAACATTCCTGTTTGTTTACAGCAGTCTGCTCCTTAGGGAACAGTTCTCCTGTAAACTATCACACACCTTCAAATATAGAGGATTATGTTATCACTCATGTTTTCTCTTTCAACCTTTGGGTTTTTGTTTTTCAAGACAGGGTTTCTTTGTAGCTTTGGAACCTGTTCCATAACTCATTCTGTAGACCAGATTGGCCTCAAGCTCACAGAGATCCACTGTCTCTGCTTAGAATTCTGGGATTGGAGGTGTATGTCACCACCACCTGGCTATTTTCTAGTCTTAACATCAAGGATACTCACAGCTAAACTGACATTTTTCATACTGAACTATACTGTTACCATAGGACAATTTTTTCTCTCCCATTATCGTTAGCTTTAATTTATAGTTATTCATGTGTGTTTCTTAGCTTGGACAAATATTTAATGTAAAATAGATTTTTCAAATCAGATGAGAAATATATTTTTCTTATTGAGTATCCAGATTGACTTGAATTTTTCAAAAGTCTAATCTAGGATAAGATGCTTATAATAATGCCAGTTGTTTCCAAGGAATAAATGGGGAAGAAGTTTAACACATATGAGTAGGGACCACTAATGACAAACTATCTTAAGTCAGCATTAAATTTACCTGACAAATGTTAAATTAACTGCAGACCCACTTAAACCAAATACAGGCTTTAAAGTTTTCCTGTTTACCTTTGGTCATTCCATGTTTTCTCCTCTTAGCTTTTTCACAGTGTTTCTCTTCTTTGTTGCTTTTAGTTACATCTGCATTATCCTCTAGTCCTTCCTTTGGGAGTGTTTTGGGAAGAAAGAAAAAGGGAATGCTGGTCAGGACATTCACTCCTGCACAAATCAAAAAGCCGATCCACCAAGCACCGACCCAGCGCGTATCAGTGAGAGTTATGGTCAGGTCATCTGTGAAGAAATACAGATGTTTTGTTAGTTTGCATCATTCTTTCCTGTGTAAACTGTAGAAAATTATTAAGAATCACAATACATCTAAACACAAAATTTGTATATTATTTGTAAACTATTCACATGCTTGCTATTATTCTTGATTGAGCCTTGTACTATGGTGCCCTGCTTCTACTTCCTAAATTCTGGGATTACAAGTATCTGCCACCAGGCTGGGTGAATTCAGACCTTTAGAAAAAGTGTCTGAGGTGGACAATGGTGGTACACACCTTTAATCCCACCATTCAGTGAGGCAGAGGCAAGCAGATCTCTCTGAGTTTGAGTTCAACCTGTTCTACAAAGTGAGTTCCAGGACAGTCAGAGAAACACAGAGAAACCCTGCCTCAGAAAAAAAAAGAAAAAGTCTCTGAGATTATTCAATTGGGTAAAGTTAAAATTAACAAAGAAGGAAAAGCTCTGGATTGTTACATAGCAAAATAATTAAAAGTTGATTTTAAAAAGACAGTTAAAAGATTTGAGACACATTTAAGAAACCAGGTTTAACCTAATGAATTCATATCTGAAATCACAGTGATTGAAGAAGGAGACTGGAGAGACCGTTCAGCAATAACTAGAAGTTATTGCTGCTCTTGCAGAGGTTCTGAGTTCTATTTGCAGCACCAATATGGAAACTCACTACTGCCTGTAACTATGATTTCAGAACATCTGAGCCCTTTTCTGATGTCAGCAGGCGCACGCGCGCGCACACACACACACACACACACACACACACACACACACATACACACACATACACACACACACGCACATATATATATATATTAAGACAATAAAATATCACATGGTATTCAATTACATTTCATCTATTCATTAAGAAAATCAACTTATTTGATCTAGCATTATGTGTGGGGATATGTTGTCAGTGGCCATGTTGTCGGAACTGTAGACAGCAATAGATCTTATGGAATACAGCCCAGAGGATAACAAACCTACTCAGGTACATCCTGGAGAGGCAAAGGCCCTAGAGGATTTTTTTATAATGTCCCTTGGTTCCCTTGTTTTTTTTTTTTTCTGTGTTTCCTTCTGTTTGCTGCTGCCATATTCATGATGTATTTGTCACAGTGTAGTTACTATAAAAAGGAATTTTACTGTATCTAGTACAGTGTTATTATTTCTTGAGAAAAACTCCACCTCTCACTGGGCAATTAACTTGTATATAATAATTTTTATAAAAGTAATGATGCTTAGTTGAATTAATTATTTAATTGAAATTTCTGAGCCTAAAAGATACATGTGGTTAAGAAAAGTAGTAAAGATGATTAGGAACATGATTTATCTTATTCTGCCAATTGTTCCAATAAGAGATACTAAAAAGACAAATATAGGCTAAAAGTCACCTTTCCCAAATATGGGATTAGAAGAGGATGGAAAGCAAGAATAAGGAAGTTTAATGAATTGTAGACCCATGAATTACGCCTTTGAAAAATATAACAGGCTGATGATTAAAGTAAACAATTATTTCCTAGTCTGAGTTCCTTGGTCATATAATTTCAGAATTAACCCCACCACTAGCATGTGAAAAAAAACTGAGAAAGAAAATTAAACGTCCCTATTGTGTAAATAAAAATAGGTGGTTAGCTGACCACTCATTTAGTTTCTCTAGAGTAGAGCTAAAATAGAAATATATACTGAAACTGCAAAGAGCTATATGGAATTAGCTGAAATATATATAGCTTGATGAAAATTTTTTCAGTAATAAAAGAAAGAGTCATTGCTTTGAGATGAAGATATTATGGTGGGAAAATTAATACAAATAAAAATGGTTAATTTCTATTTGTGGATTTCTAAGGAAGACATGTAACTTTTGATCTTAATGAAATTTTTTTCTTACGTAAAGATTTTGTTTTTGAAAAACATGTGACATGTGAGGTAATCTTTTCTTGCATAGATATGTTTGGATATGAAGTATGAAAGAAGTAAGAAAAAAATAAAAGCTAGGAGAAGGGGACGTGTTGAAGGAAAAGCGTCAGGAAAGAGAAGAGAAACACCCGGGAAGAAGAAAGGAGAATTTCAGGAAAATATTGCAGGAGAGCAACTGGAAGAGGAAGGAAAATGACAGGGTAAAAGAACTGAACAGCCAAAGAACTGAGTAAGAACAACCAGCAGAAAGAAAAACAAAGAATTAACCTTTGGGCCTCAGATAAAGTTCCCATGAGTGTCTGTGCATCTGTCCAGGAGTTCGCCTGCTCTTACAGATCCCCTGCTGTTTCTCTGACCTGGGAACTGGGCTCCTTGCAGCAATATACTTTTGAGCAGGTAATGATTATGTCTGTCTGTTATGTGAAACCTTTGAAACCAGTGCTTATCACATAATAGAAAGATCTCTTTCATTATCCGCAGTGACTGCCTCATTGAGAAAAACTTATTTGAGTAAATTGTTTGAGACCAAAAGTGTGGCTACAATGTGGTGAGAGGATGAAGGACTTTTGTTGAGAAGGCAGCATTTTATCCTTACCTCTGCTCCTCTTGGGTATGTGATCTGTAAGTAGTGATAATTTGCTTAACTGAGGATCAAAGGAGGCATTGCTATATCAATCTGGAGCATTCTTCTACACTCTAGCGACTATACTATATAAATAAAGTGTATTTTACCTGTATTCACAGATCCAATGTCTACATAAAGGGTTACACAGAAGGATGCCAATAAAAGTCCAATCAACGGGCCAAGAACCCTTCCTGTTTCTAAAATCCCTGGAAGTAAACAAAAATAGGAAGTTATACACAACTACACAAAGAGTTTGCTTGCACACAAAAGCCTTGACTATGAATAGTTTTAGATATTAGAATTCTTTTCCTTCCTTTGTAGAGCTGAGAATCAAATCCAGTAGCCTAGCCAAGCACTCTACAACTGAGCCATACCCCACTACCTCAGGTATTCTTATGTATTCAGTATAAAAAATTAAGGTTGATATGTATGTATCATGTAAATTTATACACATATATACCCATTACATGCAAATATGTGTGTTGCATGTGCATACATTGGTTCTATAATGCTCCCATTGTTTCCATATAGAATGTCCCTCAGAATTTCATGGGTCACAGACTTGTTTCCCAGGGGTTACCACTGAAACCTGAAGTAACTTCCAATGTAGGGTATGACAGTGGGTCTTCAGATCATCTGGAGTAGAACCATAGCCCCTTCCTCATTCTGTTTCCCTTGCCACTCACAAGATGAATGGGTTCACTCCATCATCCTTCCTTTTACCATAGTGAGCTGCCTCATCACAAGCCTCTAAATCACACAGTCCAGCAACATAGACCAAGACTTCCAAATCTGTGAACCAAACAAATCCTTTTTCTTTATAAAATGTTATTTCAGGTATTTAATAAAGTGACAGAAACCTGATTGACACAAAAACGTTATCACCCAAAGCTACATTCCACATTCTCTTTCATTGTGAGTTAAGGCCAAAAGCTGTACTATCACAGGCAGTCCTGTCAAAGCCAGGATATGAGCAAGGTCCTTTTGATGCTTCTATAACCATGTTTTCAAGGGTTTCTGTGATGGCTAGTTTTAATTGTCGACTGTCCTGCCTAGAACTCCCTGGGAGGAGAATCTTAATAAAATGTTGTCTACACTGGGTTTACCTGTGGCATGTCCATAGAAGACTATCTCAATTAAGTTAATTGATGTGGGAAGACCCAGTCCACTGTGAGCAGGACCATTTCTTAGGCAGGGAGTCATCAACTACATAAGACCAATGAAAGAGCTGAGTACAACCATGCAAGCAAAGACATAAGCATGCGCACATTCACTCCTCTTGGTTCTGTGACAGCCGCCTTAAGCTTCTGCTACTGTGACTTCTCTGTTGCTATGAAATTATAAGACAAATGAACTGCTTTCTCTCCAAGGCTGCACTTCCTCACAGAAAAAGAAACAAAACTAACACAGTTTTTAAGTGTGATCCAAAGTAGTGTTATTAAACAAAAACACTGAGTCAGATATTGGGGTTAAAGCTGAAAGATCAGAAAAATAAAGCAGCAGCCACAGTTACTTCTTACCTCTATGAAATCTCATACCTAAGTAGAAAAGATAATTGCCAAACCAGTAAGTCTTTAAATAGTGACAAAACTAATTTTTAATTTAAATCATCTTGGTTAATCCTAACCTTATTCCTCTCTTCTATTATTTGCTTTCATTTTTGTTGGTTTGTTCTTTTGTGTTAAGTAATATGTATACATTAATTGAAAAGTGTCCCTATATACAAAGTTAAGGGTTTATAAACAACTACACATGGAATTACTTAAGAACATATGCAAATTATCCCTAATAAGCCGAGAACATTTAAAAGACAGCAGAAGTAGGTATATACTTAAATAGTTCTTCCCTTAAGATGCATAAATTTAAAAAAGACATTTTTTAAGTAATACAAACAAAAGATCAACTTGGATATTTATTAAAACCATGAAAAACCTGCCTGTCTAGGCCAAGAATTTATAACAAAGGAAAATGTGTCATTAACTTCATAGAGAAGCAGGTTGCAGAGCCCCAAGTAGTAAAAGAGAGAAGGTGGTATATAAGAAACCAACTATTGAACATAGTAGAGGAGACATGTTTAAAATTGTATTTGATAAGTCTTATTCTACAAGATTGTTTACAACGATACAACAAAAGAAAACACTAAGTGCCAGGCACAAGGCTCAACAGGTAAAGGCATATTTCCATCAAACTTGATCCAAGGATCAGAATTCAATAACCAGACCAACTGTCAAAAGCTGTCATCTGAACACCACACTGTCAATAAAACGTACACACACACACACACACACAGAGAGAGAGAGAGAGAGAGAGAGAGAGAGAGAGAAAGTACTACAGATACAAAATGGCCAATAATGAAATTGTAATAATTTATAGATTCAAGAATGATAATGAAAATCAACAAAAATAAAAAAAAACCACACACAATTGCATCTAAGAAACACTTTCCAGGAAATGCTGGTGAATGTCTAATGCTTTAGGGATAATGTGGGAGCAACAGAACACTGTAGATTCAGAAGGTTAGCAGGCTCTCCAACAGTGAGAAGCTGATTGAAAAAGTGGCTTGTCTGGAACTATGACTTTTAATTCTCCCATTCAGTAATCTTTATGACCAATGGTGGCATAGTACTCAGCACAGCATTGTGCAAACCACAATGTATCCAAATCAATAAATGTTTTTTACCCTCTGAGGATTTGGTTAGCTGGTAAAAATTCCAACTCTGATTTTCAAACTTACCAATGTATAAAGGGGAGTTTTCAGATTTGGCAAAATCTTCTATGTAGGAAATACCCAAGGGCATGATGGGAGTTTCACCAATTCCACGGATAAAATTTCCTACCATTACACATATCCACATTAAGGATTTAATTTCTTTTGAACACTCTATATTAAAACAAGAGAAAAATAGATAAGAATTCTGACAGTCAAGTGTTACTGAGAGTTAATTCAAAATTTTCTTTGTTTCTTGGGTCACAAATCTATGATGACCATGAAAGGAGTTATGTAACTGTGCTAACTGTGAATCACTGAGTCACCCCTACTGCTTATTTTGGGATATTATTTATCAACGAATTATAAGTGTTATTTATGCTGCAACCAATTCTCACTTGGGTGGGAAAGATGACTCTACAGATAGATACCGCTTCCCAATTCAGCATTTAGTGACAACCCATTGGTTGTGAGAATTTACATCAAAGTAATACACCAAAATTAAAAACAAGGACTTTTCCTCATTTCTAGGGACTCAGTTTTCTGCCAACCAATGAAACCAGTAATGATGCCTCATTCATCCACAATTTTGAGGATTGAAAAAGAAGCACATGTGTGCATATGTCTCTGATAATTCATATTGTACTGACATCACACAGGGGAGATTGATAAAAGTTTGGATTTCCCCACAGCCTCAATTACTTTGTAGAAGCTAAATATTGTAGCACAAATAATAACCCCAAAGACAAATTTGGAGTCCAACCCAAAACCCAGAAAAGCAGCGCAGGAAAGCCACTAGAGAAATCTTACCTCTACTTGGCTGGGAGACCTCATATTAAGCCGACTAAGCTTCTCTCTCTTCCCATTTTTATTCCCTCTAGTGCTGGGATTAAAGGTGTGTGTCTCCCTAGGACTGGGATTAAAGGTGTGAGCCACCAGCACCTGTATTTGTTTCTGCATTGATCTTGTGCAGCCCAGGGTGGCCTTGATCTCACAGAGATCTATCTGGTTCTGTCCCCCAAATCCTGGAATTAAAGGTGTGTGTCACCATTGCCTGACCTCTAGTCACTTTATCTTTGTCTCTGGTCTTCAGGCAAGATTTATTTATCAATATACAAATAATATAATGCTATTCAATATTTAGCTGAGTAGTAACCATATTATTTCTAAAGATTCTGTCTTTTACTATCAATCAAATATTCCAATGGATCAAACAGCAGATAATCATTGAATAGCAGATACTGAATCTAATAGCCCTCCATAGACTCCCTGAGAGCAGTGACGTTCCAAGCCTTGGGGACTGTTGCAAATTCTGTAGCATGAATCTACATAAGATGGAAAAGTTCTGGCCTGAGACAATCCTACTGAGACAGTATCAGATTATGTGTCCAGGAAACGTGTTGGGTCTTTTAGCATACGTTACTTTAAAAATGTTCTTTAAAATGTATGTACCTTAAGGAGCAAATGTGCACCATGTGTGTGCAGGTGCCCAAGAGGGTCAGAAGGGGGAACCCAATTCCCCATAACTGAATTGACAGGGGGTTGGGGACAACCTGATGACAGTGATGGTAACCAATCAAGCCCTCTGTAAGAATGGTAGTGTGCTCTGAATGGAAATGCTCCCCCCCCCTCCAGAGGCTCAGGTATTAAATATTTAGCCTCCAGTTAGTGGTGCTATTTGGAGAAGTAGAGGAAGAATATCACTGCAGATGGGCTTCCAGAGCTTAAAACCTCACCCTCTGCTCCAGTTTGCTCTTTCTGCCTCATGTTTGTAGTTGAGATGTGAGTACCTCCTGCTGCCATTCTCCCTGCCATGATTGATTCTCATCGCTCTAGAACAGTCATTATCAACCTAGGGATCACATCTCTTTTGGGGGTCATATGACCCTTTCACAGAGCTCACTTAAGACAATTTGAAAACATAGATATACATTATGATTCATAACAGTAGCAAGATCACAGCTATGAAGGAACAAGAAAAAGCAATTTTAGGATCGGTGGTCACTGTAATATGAGGAACTGTATTAAAATGTTTCAGCATTAGGAAAATTGAGAAACAGTGTTCTAGAATCTTAAGCACAACTATGTTCTTCTGTGTATAAGTTCCCTTTTGTTATGGTATTCTATCACAGTAAAAGAAAAGTAACCAATGCATGCAATAAATACTCATGGTCTCTGCTTTGGTTCCTGCCTCCAGGTTCTTGCCTTGGCTTCCCTCATGGTTGTGTACAATTTATAAGCTAGACAACCTCTTTCCTACCTGAACTGGTTTTAGTTCATGTTTTATTATAGCAACAGAAAACCAAACTACACCAAGCACATAGATCTTATCATGGGTCTAGAGCCATCCTTCCAAGTTGTTTTCCCTTGTGCGATTAACTCTACAATGGTGCTGGAGTAGATATCATTTTTTAAATACCCACTTTAAGAAACAAAAGAGTCTTAAGTATATTCAAACTTAGGAGGCAGAGAATTCTATATTATTAGACAACTCCCTTCCCCAAAGAGAGAAATAAAGATTGTTCATTTGTCTTAGATGCCTACTAAATTCAATGTCACCTTAGAAGCCCTTTATAAGAGTATCATGTCCCTGAGCAGGAAAACAATAAGCACTGGTGTGGGAGAATTGTCGGTATTCTGTCAATCATGTTTAAAATAAATGCTGATTGGCCAGGCAGGAAGTATAGGTGGGAAAATCAGACAGGAAGTAGAGGTGATGCAAATGAGAAGAGGAGAATTCTGGGAAGGAGGAAGCTGATTCCTCCCAGTCCTGCGCAGATCACCAAGGAAGCAGGATGTGACCTGCCAGCTGAAAAAGGTACCTAGCCATAAGGCTAAAATAGATCAGAATAATGGGTTAATATAAGTCATAAGAGCTAATAAGAAGCCTGAGCTAATGGGCCAATCAACTTACAACTTATGGAGACCTCTGTGTGATTTTCCTGGGGGCTAAACAGCTGTGGGAACAAGGCAGGACAGAAAACCCCAACAAGCAGGGTCCTTCATGTTACAAAGCACTAGTTCACCTTTAGGGTCCGGTGTTGGTGTTAAAGTCTGGGTTCTGTTTCCTGAACACAAGAAGCTGTTTGAGGACAAGTTGCTTGAAGGTGAGATCGTTTTCTCATATTCGTATCTGTGTGGACACAGGAAACATTCACTGTGAGGACCTGAGGACAATAAGAGCATCTACAGATCACTGATTCCTGCTTCCCTGAAAACACAGCATCCAGAGGTCACACAGACATGTTTTCACAGAGGTCATTCTAAACATCATGAATTCTATTGCTGGGCCAGAGAGATGACTGATTACCTGAGCTCAGTCCTGGAAATCACAAAAAGGTGGAGGGAGAGGAATGACTCCATAAGGTGATCCTCTGACCTCTACATGTGAACACCTACACCCACCATGCATATGTAAACACATACACACAGGCACACACACACATACACAAATAAATAAATAGAAACAGAAATCCGTATCATGAAGCTGGACATGTAGTTCTAGAGCTAAACTTCCTAACTGCATCAACAGGGTGTGGTGGCCCATGCCTGTCACCCTAGCACTTGAGAAGTGGAGAGAGGAACAACAGAAGCTAAAAGTCACCTTCAACTATGCAGTTAGTTTGAGGTCAGACTGGGCTTCCCAAGAACCTATCTCAAATAAAAGCAGAACAAAACACAGAAAAATAAACCAAAAATAACCCCCAATTTAAAAGCATGTGATGGAGGAGGGTTAACTGTCTATGTGTTACTTTCATTGGTTAATAAAGAAACTGCCTTGGCTTTTGATAGGACAGCAGCTTAGATGGGTGGAGTAGACAGAATAGAATGCTGGGAGGAAGAAGGCAATGAGGCAGTCGCCATGACTGTCCTCTCCGAGACAGCTGCATGTTAGAATCCTACTGGTAAGCCACCACCTCACGGTACTACACAGATTAATAGAAATGGGTTAGATCAATATGTAAGAGTTAGCTAATAAGAGGCTACAGATAATGGGCCAAGCAGTGTTTAAAAGAATACAGTTTCTGTGCAATTATTTCAAGGGTAAAGCGAGCTGGGAGGTGGGCGGTGGGAAGCGGCCCACAGCTCCTACTACAAACATGAATGAATATAAATAAGTAATAAATTTCATCAAAAGTACTTGATAATCACCAAAAATATGCCCCTTCTTTACAGTTAGCTCTCATCTCTACATGTAAGTGGCATGGCTTTCAGATTCCCTAATGCTGACCCTTCATTATTTCTAAATGACTATTTTCTGGAATAATTGAATGAGGTAAAAAGAAGAAGCAAAAAAAGAAAAAAAACTCACTAAAGTAAAATTGAGAAGATAAAAGCTTTAGAGAGAGACAAAAAACAACACAATAAATCAAGACACCTGCTCTGTAATCTCTGAGCGGTGATCCTACCCTTCCTTTCTGAGAATTCAAGCAATCATTTTCATATGTGTTCATTAATTCCAACAGAAGAAAAATTTCCTATGTCATGACAAAAGGTGACAGAACTCATCACCTGACAATGCAGAGTTATGGTACAGAAAAGTGTTAATAAACTATGATTGTTTAACTTGATCAAATCACGAAGGATCAGCTTGTCCTAGGAAGAATGTGTTCAGTAGAGGAGAATGTGTCCAGCTAAGTTTATCTCCATTGTAGGTATCCTGGATTTCATTTAGTTATTTAAATTTATTATTTCTAAGTGCTGTTTAGAAGAGAGACAGCTAGAGGGAAACATGGGCTGCTGAATTCTGCATGAGTATAGAGTTATACTTGTCAACATTCTAGTTTCTATGCTGAATAATTTAGTACAGAAGTCAGGGCCAATTCACCCAAAAACAACTGCCTGGATGTCCCACAGAGGTTGCCTGTGAAATGTAGACAAGAGTCTGTGCCTCTTTATTCATGACCAAGTGAAGACAGGCCAGCTTCAAAGAATAATCACTATTGGCAGAAGGTGGACAAACACAATAGTCAAATATTTCTTGACATTGATTTGAATCAAATAAAAAGCAAAGAATAATTTTTAAATTCTATCCACAAACTTCTAATACCCTGCAAAACACCTGAGATGACAAAATATTCTTTCATTTATTATCTATTAAAAACTCAGTTGTCCACTCAAAGTCTATTTACTCCACAATTGACAATAAAACAGCAGGAAAATGTTTCAAAATGAAAAGGGGGAATTCCCATTTTATCACAGATAAAGAGACCTAGATATGATGATGTAGATCAATCAGCACATTGGTGCCTGCCAAGCACCAGTCCAATCCTGTATTTGATCCTGAATACTCAATAAAACTGAACATGGTAGCCCAGGCCTATAATTCTACTACTCAGGAGATGGAGACAAGAAGATGAGAAGTTCATGATTATCCTTAATCACAGAGTAAATTCAAAGCCAGCCTGAACTACATGAGACTCTTGTTTCAGAAAATAAAGAAATAAAGAGTTTTGTTAGATACAAGATGCCTCCATGGGTATAGATGCTTGTGTAGAAGCCTGAAAACCAAATTGAATGTCAGGTCCCATAGAATAGGCAGAGAGAACCTACTCCTGAGAGTTGTTTTCTGACCTCACATGAAAACACACACAAACCATTACTACCTAAAAATAAAGTAGCTAAAAATGAAACAAAACATAAATGAAAGATTGAAAGTGGGTACACTTAAGCTTAATCAAAGTCTGAGATTGAGGTGTGGATGTGAAAATGGCCACTGAATCAGAAGACAAGGGAAGAATAGTGATTATGCTTCACGGAATATCAGGGTATGTTCCATCCTCTGTTAAAAGCTGCATGTAATGACTCCTAACTCAGGACCCAGTTGGGCACATGAAGCAAAGCCTAAAGAGGGGATTAAATTGCACATAAGGAATATCTAGGTCCTCAAACTCATCCTCTGTCTCTCCAAGTGGAAATATTCACAGTTGGAAAAGATAAAACTGGTACAATGAGGACACAGAGGACACAAAGGGGGCTTATTATGTTTTAAAACTCCACATGCTATTTTCCCATGACTTTTTTCTCCCAGTGTAGCAAAGTTTCTACCTCTTTAACAAGTGCAGAAAATTCCTCCCTAGTATCACAAGTTACAAATTTCTGAGATAGCTCAAAATCAGCGAGTCCAGCTCAAATACCCCCCAGTCCAGCTTATTATCACCCAATCCAGATCAATCACTATCCAGTCCAGCTCAATTAATACCCAGTCCAGATTAGTCACCAGCCAGTCCAGCTTAATTACCTGTTGATTCATCCTACTGAAAAAGACAAAAGACTCCCATTAACCAAGTCTATACATGTATATAAAATTTCCACTTAGCTTTCTGTTATTCTCTCTTAAATATGGACAAATAACCCAGTGCCATCTGTGGGGGATACTCTATTTCAGTAAGTAAAAGACAAACATTGAGTTTAAGGAGCCAAAGACAAAGAGACAAATGAAGAAAGTCACAACGAAAAAATACTGAATTCTTGGGAAAATAACAATCTGTCCCTCAGAGGAGATTTTCAAGGTAGAGAGGTGTCCTTAATAATAAAATTTTGAAATATGGTAACACAAGTGACATGTCCATTCGAGAATCTGGACAACAAAGCTAAATTTCCCAGGAAGTACCTGAGAAATGAGAAGACACGAAGTAAGGAAGATATCAAGAATGAATGAAATCTCAGATATCAGTGCTCAAATAGCAGCTACAGAAGAGGAGGAGAAGGAGAAATATATCATCAGGTACAAAAGAGGAAAAAAGTACAAAAACTTTACAAAATCTCCTGATTGAAGTCACCTAATGGAGGTGGCAGAGGACTTAAACCAATGGGCATCAGTATCAAATTGAGGAACTAAAAGTGAAACCAGATACAGGAATTATAATACTAATTCCAAAATGCACAGAATTTGGGGCAATGAATTCAAAGATTTGGGGGAAATTTCTTTCTCTACAGAAAGAAGTGATGGAGAGTAAACAGGGAAGCAGCAAGTAGAACACTCCTCTATTGAGTAGTTAAGAATAAGAAAGAATCAAAACAAGGTAGTTGTGGTGGTTCATCATTGTAGTGCGAACACTTGGAGGGCTGGATAATTACCAAGAGGTTGAGGCCAGCCTAAGCTACATAGTAAATTCCAACCTAGGTTACAAAGCAAGTCTCTGTCACAAAAAGAAAACAAAGCAATGTAGTAGGTAGGCTGCTCATACCAGAAATAATCACCCAAAATCGATATTATTTAAATCACTGCTTGGCCAATCGCTTAATTGTATTGCTAACTAGCTCTTACATCTAGAATTAACACAGTTCCATTATTTTATATTTGACCATGAGATTCATGGACTACAGGCAAGGTTCCAGCTAGCAGGTCATGTCTTTCCCCTCTGGTGACTACATGGTCACCCAACTCTGACTTATTTCTCCCAGAATTCAGGTTATTTTTTCCCTCCTAGCTCTATTCTGGTTAGCCACTGGCTGAAACAGCTTCTTTATTCTATTTTATTAACCAATAAAAGAATCACATATACAGAAGGATTTTCCACACTTTTCCCCCTTTTCTGTTTAAATAAAAAGAAAACTTTTAACTTTAACATAGTAAATTACATATAATAAAACAGGTATCGAATAAGAATTACAGTTACAATATTTATATCTGTTTTATCTTTTATCATAACTAAGGAAAACTATAATTATAACTATTGATTCTTCAACTCCATAAAAGACTCCAGAAGGATATAATATTACCTAAGTTAATAGGAAGTGTTTTGTAAGAAACTTCCAATACTCTAGAATTGACAGAGTCATCTCACTGCCTGGACAGCCACCCAAAGTTCTTCTGGGTCATTGGGGCATCCATCTTCAGCCTACAGGCTGACAGTATCCAGCAGACTTATCCACAAAGCAGGTAATTTCAAAGACAGTTCCACCTATATTGGCAGTTTGTCAGTCACTCTCTTCTGTGTCCTACAGAATGTCTGATAGACTCTTTCATGAAACAAGAACCCTGAAAGACTCTCTCCCCTTCTTTAGGCAACTTCAACAGTCATTTTTATGTGAGTCCTGCATGTCCAATTTATATTGCATGACACCAATCAGTCCAGGAAAGAGCAATTTCTTGCCCAAATAGCTAGCAAACTCCATGAGGAGCCTCTTTGATGTTCATCATCCTCCTGAAGCAGCTTGGTGCTGTCAGGAACAGAAGGGTATCATTGTCATGAAAAGTCTAAGTTCTTAAAACATTTTAAATGCCATATTTTATAGGTCTTTGAAAAGTTTGAAGATTATCTATATAACTAAATATATCTCTACACATCTAGAAAACCTAACTAACATACCTATAAGCTTGGCTATTATAGATGACTATCTATTAATCTATATTAATTAATTATACATTACATTTTGAATTGAGCTGTACAAAACAATACTATAATCAAGAGTAGAAATATACATATGACAAAATTGATTTTAATTTTGTGTCAATAAAGCAAAATCCATACCAATTCAAATCTCCATAGCATATCCTTCTTTAAATGTAAAGAAACATTTATAAACAATCATTTAGGAATTTGAGCTTAGTTCTCTCCTAAATGCTTCCTACTTTTCATTGGGTAAAGTATTGGGAGGGTTCATGGTGAGCTTTCAGAGGGCTTGGTGCATCAAACCACATTAGTATGAAATTAATCCACAGGTTTTCATCTTCTGTGGAAACAAAAGCAGCATATCCTTAGACTCAAATTCTGAAGTCAAGATAGCTTTAAAATATATATGTTGGATTATCTTAGCAGTCCATGCAATGAAATGTCTCTCATATAGCTTTTTAACAGTCAAAAAATCAAAGAAAACATAATAATATACATAATTCAGACTCTGAGTATATTCTATCTTTACTTGGCTTATTTTTCTTACTCTACTACTTTTTCTACAAGTTTATTATTTATGTTATTATCTTTACTCCTTTAATCTATGGCTGACTGCGCTCTTTCATATTACATGTTATTTTTCTTCTCTCTCCCAAGCCTGAACACATTTTTTAAAAACACACTGTGTCTTATTTAGAGACCTTTTATGTCTGAATCTATCTTATTGTTATCTATAATTCTTTTTTTTACAAGGATGGCTTCTTAAAATGCTAAGCACTTCTTAAAAACCTAATCAGTGGCATTGTTTGGGCAAATACAGCCCTGCCTGCTTATTCTGCCCAGTCCAACATGGCAGAAGTCTGTTCAGTACCTCTGAGACTGCCTGGTGGGAGTCACACTCATCACCTCAACTCCAGTAACCAGTTTGCCCATGCTGACTCTCAGTAACTTGTAGTACACTGCCCATAAACCCCATTCAAGTGCTTGGTCCCCTGAAAGAGACAGAGTTAGTGCTGGCAGCACAAATCAGGAAGCTGCCATTTTGAAAACATGCAATTTTTTTCTGCTATCACTAAATTAGTAATACCTCTCTTTTCTTTTATTGACCTTTATTGAGCTCTACATTTTTCTCTGCTACTCTCCCTGCCTCTCCTCTTCAAACTTCTTCCAAGGTCCCCATGTTCCCAATTTACTCAGGAGATCTTATCTTTTTCTACTACCCATGTAGATTAAATCTATGTATGTCTCTCTTAGGGTCCTCATTGTTGTCTAGGTTCTCCGGGATTGTGATTTGTGGGATGGATTTCTTTGCTTTATGTTTAAAAGCAAAAAAAAAAAAAAAGTCATCAGAGGAAGATCTCTCTTAAAGGAGCTGCAACATGCCATCAGCAACCAGAACCCATCCAAAAAATTGGAGCTAAACTTTGTTTTTAGAGTCTAGAATTCCTTTACACGCCCTCTCAGGTTTTTAGTGGATTTAGCTAGCATACATTGGCATGCCAATCTGTAAAAATAAGGAATGGCGGGTTGCATTCTTACCTGCCGCTCAGCTAGCTTTACCCAAAATAGTTACACGGAAACTGTATTCTTTTAAACACTGCCTGGCCCATTATCTGTAGCTTCTTATTGGCTAACTCTTACATATTGATCTAGCCCATTTTTAATAATCTGTGTAGCACCACAAGGTCATGGCTTACCAGGAGGATTCTAACCTGCAGCTGTCTTGGAGAGGAAAGGTATGGCGACTGCCTCATTGTCTTCTTCCCAGCATTCTGTTCTGTCTACTCCACCCACCTATGTTCTGACCTATCAGGCCAAGCAGTTTCTTTATTAATTAGCCAATGAAAGCAACAGAAATACAGAAGCCTCTCCTACATCACCAATCTGTAGTGGGTAGGCCACTCAGACCTGAAATAATGACAGAATATATATTATTTAAATCATGTCTTGGCCAATCACTTAATTGTATTGCTAGCTAGCTAGCAAGTACATCTAGAATTAACCCATTTCCATTCTTTTATATTTTACTTTGAGGCTTGTGGCAGGAACAAAGAAGCAGCCTCCTCATACAACATATAATAAACAGCATGATTCTCTTAGAAAATATTATTTTATATCATTCAATATTGAAGTATTAAAAGCTAGTAAGACACACAGGCAAACAGATAAAAGAACTGTAATGTATTCCCAGAAAGCATAAAGAGTGTAAGAGATGACTCACCATAATTTAACTTTTACAGTTTTCTTTGCAAGACACTTTGGTAAACAGAAAAATAAAATTCAGGTCTATTTCTTGGAGATGCAATATTACATCACATTGTAGACCCTTTGTAATTGGAATGTATAAATAGTCCTCTGAAGAACTTAACTCAACTTTGACAGATTCAGATGATTTGTTTATGTATCTCAACTTCATGAAAGTGGTGTCTCAAATTCCCATTTCACAATTGGATTGGATGGATCTTTAACAGACCCAAGGTCACAAGATTCATACTTACAGTGTGGATACCACATCTTCTAATTTCCGTATTAGCATTTTGTATTTTGGGGTAGCGTTTCTACCTTCAGAGAGTAAATTCTAAGCCTCATTCACTGCGATTGAAAGTTGAACCTAAAATTACCATCAAGAACTGGGATACTCACCGGCCCATCAGGAAATGAGGTAGCGATATTAAGAAACATCCTAGGCCCATAACCACACATCCGACACCGATCACTACAGGTCTGTGCAGTTTTGTTCCAAAATAACTCACGAATATAATGAAAAAAAGGTTTCCTAGGATAAATAAATGAGAATGCTTGTTTCAGTAAGTATTATCACATCATAGTCAGTAGCCTCCTCTATATTTGCAATCTAGTATTCATTGTTTAACAACCACCTAAAGAACACAGCGATAGGTGCTTAGAAGATTTGTGCATTGTTTTAAATTCATAATCAATCATGACCCTGAGGTAAGGTTCTCCTTCATTTTGGAGAATATTCAGGGGACTATTTAGGATTATCTAGTCCTTCAGAATGGATACAAAAGCAAGTGTTAGCCTGCAGGTCACATTTGGCTACTTCTCTTGTGTCTGCTCTATTCAGAGTCAAATGGAATCATGTTTTTATTTTTAATTTAATATTCAAAAAATCCTTTTATGCTCAACACAGCTAAGTTGAATGTCTGCTTCTACTTTCATATCTATCCTTAGACCCAGTTAAACAGAGAGAAGGTCAGAGTCCTAACTCTCCAACTGGGTCTTAGTTCTAGATTGCTGAAGGCATAAACTGAAACCCAAAATTAATAGTAGAAATTAATTTCTACTATTTAGCTTAGTGGAAAACTTTGGCTTGCTTGGTATTGGCATAAAAACAGAGATGTTAACCAATGGAATCGAATTGAAGACATGGATATTAACCCACAAACCTATGAACACCTGATTTTTGACAAGGGAGCTAAAAGTATACAATGGAAGAAAGAAAGCATCTTCAACAAATGGTGCTGGCATAACTGGATGTCAACCTGTAGAAGAATGAAAATAGATCCATATCTATCACCATGCACAAAACTCAAGTACAAATGGATTAAAGACCTCAATGTAAATCCAGCCACACTGAACCTGATAGAAGAGAAAGAGGAAAGTAGACTGCAACACTTGAGCACAGGAGACCACCTCCTATGTATAACCCCAGTAGCACAGACAACAAGAGCAACAGTGAATAAATGGGTCCTCCTGTAACTAAGAAGTTTCTGTAAAGCAAAGGACACTGTCATTAAGACAAAAAAGCATTATACTGAATGGGAGAAGATCTTCACCAACTCCACATCAGACAAATGTCTGATCTCCAATTTATATAAAGAACTCAAGAAACTGGACATAAAAATTCTAATTAACCCAATTAAAAAATGGGGTTCTGAACTGAAAAGAGAATTCTCAGCAGACAAAGTTCAAATGGCCAAAAGACACTTAAGGTCATGTTCAACCTCCTTAGCCATCAGGGAAATGCAAATCAAAACAACTTTGAGATACCATCTTACACCGGTCAGAATGGCTAAAATCAAAAACACCAATGATAGCCTATGCTGAAGAGGATGTGGAGTAACGGGAACACCCATCCAGTGCTGATGGGAATGCAAACTTGTGCAACCACTTTGTGTGGCGGTTTCTCAGGAAATTGGGAATCAATTTACTTCAGGATCCAGCAATTCCACTCTTGGGAATATACCCAAGAGATGCCCAATCATACTACAAAACTATTTGTTCAACTATGTTCATAGCATCACTATTTGTAATAGCCAGAACCTGGAAACAACCTAGATGTCCCTCAATGGAAGAATGGGTAAAGAAAGTGTGGAATATATACACATTAGAGTACTACTCAGCATTAAAAAAATAATGACATTTTGAATTTTGCATGCAAATGGATGGAAATAGGAAGCACTATCCTGAGTGAGATAACCCAGACCCAAAAAGATGAATATGATATGTACTCATTCATTAGTGGACTCTAGCCATAAACAAAGGACATTAAGCCTAGAGAAGCCAAGTAACAAGGTGAAACCAAAGAAAAACTTATATAGATCCTCTTGGATATTGGAAGCAAACAAGACTGCTGGGCAAAATTTGGGAGCGTGGGAGTGAAGGTAAGGGTGGGGTTGGGCTTGGGGCAAGGGGAGAGGGAGAGAAAGAAAGGAGAAGGGAAAGACTAAAGAGAGCTTGGGGGAGTGGGAGGGTGGAGACAGAGAAAGGAGAGATATAGGAGAAGGGAAGAACTTATCTACATTAAGGCAGTCATTTTAGGATTGGCAAGAGACTTGACTCAAGAGGGGATCCCAGATGTCCACGGGGATGTCCCCAGCTAGCAGCAGGGGACCTTGGGCAGCAGAGTAGAGGATGTCTGAATTGGCCTTGCCCCCCTAACACACTTATGAATATCACGATTATCACTGTAGAATCTTCGTCTGGCGACGGATGGAGATAGAGACAAAGTCCTAAGGTCCAATAGAAAAGGAGAAGGAGAGAGAAGATTATCAAGGAAGTCTGGACCACGAGGGGTTGGTTCACCCACTGAGACAATGTGCCTGTTCTAATGGGAGCTCACCAAATCCAGCTGGACCGGGACTGAATGAGCATGCGACCAAACCGGACTCTGAACGTGGCTGAAATGGGGGACTGATTGAGACGCCATTGATAAAGAACCTTCATCTGGCGATGGATGGAGATAGAGACAGAGACCCACAATGGAACACTGGACTGAGCTCCCGAGACCCAGATGAAGAGCAGAAGGAGGGAAAAAATGAGCAAGGAAGTTAGGACCGCGAGGGGTGCGCCCACCCACAGAGATTGTGGGACTGATCTAATGGGAGCTCTCCAAGGCCAGTTGGAATGGGACTGAACGAGCATGTGATCAAATCGGACTCTGAATGTGGCTGACAATGAGCGCGGATTGAGAAGCCAATGATAATGATACCGGATTTTGATTCTACTGCATGTTCTGACTTGTTGGATGCACATCTTCCTAGACCTGGATGGAGGGGGGACCTTGGTCTTTCCACAGGGCAGGGCACACTGACTTCTCTTAGGACTAAAGAGCGAGGGGGGGAGAGAGTGGGGAGAGTAGGAGGGCAATGGGAGGATGGGAGGAGGTGGAAATTTTTAATAAATAAATAAATAATTTTAAAAAACTTAGTGGGAAACCCTTTTCTGACAGAGATGACTTTACTATAGATGTTAAGAGATAAAAGAACAAGTGGAGGGCCTGGGGACATGCCATCCCTATTCACAGAGGGGCTAAGGTAGGAAGACAGCAAAATCAAAGTTGGCCTGGGCTGCAGAATGAGTTCAAAACCAGCCTAGCCATCTTACTGAGAACTCCCTCAAAATCAAAAGTGAATAAATGGTCTGGTGATAGAGTGGTAGAATGCTTGCTAATGTGTGAAACTCTAGGTTCATTCATCAGTATTATTAGCAGAAAAAAAGAAATTGAAAAGAAACAAATATATAAGTAAGCTCTCTACAAACAACATATTTTCAGTTTGCTGAAGAATATTTACCACATTCATATAATGCATAAAGAAAAAAATAGAAAACTCAAATACATTTTTAATGACTTTGCAAATCTCTAAGGTCTCTCAAATACTTGAAAGATATGTGAAGACTTTGTTTTTCTCCCAATTCTATTTCTCTCTACTCTGCTAAGAAGAAGTTATTTTGCATTATTTTGAATGGTATGTGCCCCCCTCTATATCCTTATTACCCCATCTCTTCCACAGATCGTATCATTGAGGTCATGACTCAGAAGGTAATACACCAGGACACCAATTGTTTGAACTCTATGGTCTCCTTTCTAGTCTCTGACTGCAGCTGCCCTGAATGAACTGAATCTTGTCTGAAATTTCTATTGTTTGAAAGGAAAATATTCCTTCCTCACATTATACTTAGATTGCCTTTTACATTGCCTTAGTGTCCCTCAGATAATTGGAGGCAAGGTGTGGGGAAATGTAAGGTATCATTCAGGCTAGGGGAAGGTTGTTAACAATACTAACTGGGGAAATGCCCACCAAATGCTGCATTCACTGTCCAATGTGAATTCCTTCCCCTCACAATGATTCTAATTTAAGACTCTCCTTAAGTCATCTTTCACAGCCAGTGGTAATGTTATCATTTTTAATTTAAACCAGACTTTTTAACCTTTAGTTTAAAAAATCACAGACAATAGATCCATGAACTTGGATGAGAATTATTTTCAATAATCATTAACTTGGAATCAACATTTCTGTTCACGGTAATGTACAAAGCAATAGTGACATGAAGAGCCATCTTTCTGTCACCAACAGAAGTATAAACATTGGTTTATGACATCATGATTGTTGTAAATACTACAAAAGGCCACGCAGCCTATAACTACTTGAAAATCAGATGTAGACAATCTTTGCCTTGTTAAAAAGCATGAATGTTTCTCCTGACAGGATGTTTAAATGTTCTGATAATTATACTTCAGTGTAACTGCATTCCTTTTGACCTATATAGTTTGATTTTGTATAACTACAGTATTATCCAGAAATAAGATGGCATTGGTTTTCAATATTAGTCCTTGACATAGAAAGATCAATACTCTCTTCCAACCCCATAGTGGCTCTCTGACACCAGAGGGGTAAAAGGCACACTCCAGAGCAAGCTGCAGTCTCTACCCATTTTTCATTCCTGCACACTTCTCCACCTTCCCATAATACTGGGCTGACTTGATCCCCACTCAAACTATTTGATGGTTCACCCCTGTACACATCTCCTCTTCACATTTACCTGCCAATTTCTCCACCCAGATCACCTTTACCCCTTCAGGATACCGTCTTCCCTAGCACAGCGTGTTCTGTTTGAACTTGGATAGCCAATGGATGGCATTTGCTGCCCCTACTAGTACAAGGGAACATTACTCAATCTCAGTAAGGCATTCATTCTGACTGCACTGTGAGGACATAGGGCACAGGTGGCAGAGGAAGTACTAAGAAGTTTGATCCTGGGAGACAAAATTAAGCAACCTCAGTGTGTGTTAGCTACTTCACAGTCAAGATTTTATTTGCTGATTTGATTAAATACCTTAAAGACAATTTCACCTTGAATAAGGTAACGACTAGGACTAAATGTCTTCCAGGTCACTTTGTTTACAGAGGGCATCTTTCCTTCCTTGACCTCTGTATTCTCATATCCCAGTTCATCACCTAAAATCTGGGGTTAACGTTCATTCACTCTTCTTAGGAATTGTGTCTTAGGAATTACTCAAACACAGGAAACATAGAAAACATTCTCATCTTTTTGGTGACTAGAAGTGGAGAGCTGTCAAACTCACAGGCACAGTAGGGTAAGAGAAGCATTTACTTTCCTTCAGAACATGAGTTCCTCCAGGCTCCCACAAACACCTTGTAAAATGTCATGGAAAAAGCTTTAGTGTCTCTTTGAGTTATCAAGTGATGGATATTAATACTCTAAATATACTGTCACTTGTCAGAAAAAAGACCAGATCAGAGTATGTGGTGATAATTAGGTATTATAATGGAGTTATTTAAATAAATAATTTCTTTACACTCAAACCAGGCTATTCAATCACACCAGAAAGCATGTAAATCACAAATTATAAAGTCTAATGCAGGAAATAAGGAAAGAATGTCAATATATAACAATAAGTAAATGTGAAAATAACTCACCAATTTCAAAGCTCCCATTGATAAATCCAACTATAGATGTGGGGATATTGAATTGTCTCTCTATTTGTGTGAGCATGGAATTCATATAAATTCCTGATAGTGATTTGGCTACATATGCCCCTGTTAATGCCAAAAGAAACATCTAGGAAGAAAAATATTTAAGAAATCATGAGAAATTAATTTTACAAATATATATATATATATATATATATATATATATATATATATATATATAAAACCTACTGGCAAAACAGCCTCTACCATGAGGTGGAGGATTGTATCCAACTTAAACAGCTCTAGAACATCAAAAAAACTTTAAAGTGTCATCTCTATTCTTTCCTAACTCTGGAAATGCAGGGTTAGAATATTTGGATTGAAGTTGTGAGTTTTGTAGATGGATATGGCTTTTCTCTTGCTATTGTACCACATTAACACAGAAAGACACAAAGTTATTCTATGTAAGACACAGTTATTGTTGGATCTTCAGCATTATACTGTTCTCTGCAGGACAAGAGCTGTCCACTTTAAGGAAGAGTAGGAATAGTACACAGAATTACACCACAGCATTGTTTCTACAGGAAGCCTGTTTTCAGGAGTGACAGGTCTCTGGATGTTCATGGCAGGTCAATACTTTGTCCTCTTTTTCTGCATTTTTGAGAACAACAAGCTACAGTCTCACTTTTGGAGGCAATGGCCCAGCAAAGTGATCTCTATTATGCTTATTTTTCTGCCTGTGGCAGTATACCCTATAGACTTTTAATTTAGTAGTCCAAGTGGTGTTCATGACATATCAAACCAGGGCAAAACACTTTTGGGGTCCTTCAAGTGCAGGATAAAATGGGGCCAGGTCCTGATAAGTCTCCATAGTACCTGCCTGTGACTAAAAACTCACATCGAGTGATATAGTGAATGAGCTTCTTGTTTCCCTTAACTTATCTTCTAGAAGTTGGTTGATGGCAAATGTCACCATCCCAGCTTCTGAAATCTCTGTACTCTCTCACCTGAAATAATGGGCAAATCATCTTGTGTTAGATTAATATTTACTGCTTATAAAATTTGTCATGAATACCAACTAATCTGCCTTAACCTGAGCAGAAACAAACACAAAAGTAAGTAAAATGGCAAATGCGAATACCAAGTTCAGTATAGCTTAAAAATATTTTATGGCTATAAGATAGTGTAATTCCAGCTCTAGAAGTTTATCTTCTAACTTTAAATAACATTGGCTTGTGGAGATCGTTCATTTGATTTAACTTTTGAAGAAAAAAGCTAAGCAGGTGACAAAAAATGGATCTTTCTTTAAAGTATTTGGTTGTGGGCAGAAAGAAAAAAGGAAAACAGGGTCCATGCTGGCTTAGATCTACTGCTACACAACATCTGTATTTATAAAGTCAATCCTTCTGAGCACTCTAGAGTCTGAAGCAAATGCTTTCAAAGCAGTCCTTTCATTCCTCCTAAGGGAGTTCTCTTCTGCTTTTTTCTTTCATTCTTTTACCTTGTATAAGTGTGTGCATGTTCGTGTGGAATGAGTTCATGTATGTATATGCACATGGGGAAATGGGACAAACACAGGTGTAATTCTTCAATCTTTGTGCATGTTTTTAAAAACAGGGACTTTCACCTGCCTGGAATTCACCCAGGCAGCAAAGCTGGGTGTCAGTGAGCACCAAGTATCTGCTGACTCTCTTGCCCCCCACGCTGGGATTGCAGTCAATGCCCCACCGTGCCTCGTTTCTACGTAGGCTTGGGGGCTGAACAAGCATCGTCATCCTGCTTCCAAGGCAAGTACATTACAGATCAAGATTTCTCCCCACACACTTGAGAAATTTTCCTTTAATTTCTTTAATAAATTTTATTGGTTAATTCCCATCTGTGTAGCCACTGGATTAGGACTCGCTATTGATGACTAGTGACGTCATCAGTGGATGCATGACTGGGGGTCATTAAGGCCATCATTTCCCCTGCCTTAGGACACTTTTCTAATTATTATAATCTAAACTTAAGAAGCAGGGGCTTCAGTCTGGCACTGTAGACCATGTGACTACCCTAACATTCTAAACAGTTCTAAAGTCAGAGAAGTCTAACCCTTTTTAAGCAATCACTTCTGAATATCATCAGGTATCATAAATATTATTTCTCAAAGTTTACCTTTGGGTACTGTCTTAGGGCTTCTATTGCTGTGAAGGGACACCATAACCACCGCGACTCTTATAAAGGAAAACATTTATTTGGGGCTGACTTATAGTTTCTGAGGTTTAATCCATGATTGCCATGGTGGGAACATGGGGTACAAGGAAGATAGGGTTTTAGAGAGGGATCAAAGACTTCTACGTTCAGATTGCAGGCAACAGAAGGAGAGTGACATTGGGCCCAGCTGGAGCTTCTGGAACTTCATAGCCACTCTCATTGATGGACTTCCTCCAACAAGACCACGGCTACCAATAGTGCCACTACTTGGTGGCCAGAAAGGCAAATCTATGAGCTTATGATGCCATTCCTAATCAACCCACCACAGTTACTTGGGAGTTTAACAACAGTAGATACTGGTATACAGTTTACGGGAAAATGTTAAAGCCATGACTGCAGTATTGCTAAATCTTGAAGAAAATATTTTTCTGACTAGGTCATGAAGTCATCTTTGCATATTAATCAACACAGAACTTCTGTTGGAGAACTGTTTTCTGTGACCCCTGACCTCCTGTTGGGAACCCCTGAAGGCTGAGTACTGGATTGGCCTCTGATCTCAGATTAAATTCCACCACACTATAATATACACCTAACATATTTTAAATCCTGTCCTCCTTTAAGACTCTCTAAATCAATGTTTCTCAATCTTCCTAATGGTACACACTTTAATACAACTCCTGATAATCTGTTGACTCCAAACATAAAATTATTTCATGTGCTACTTCCTAACTGTAATTTTCCTACTGTTATGAATATTAATGTAAATATCTATGTTTTACAATGGTCTTAGGTGTCCCCTATGAGTAATTCTTCAATCCCCAAAGGGGTCATGACCTACAGGTTGAGAACCTCTTCTCTAAATTTATTTAGTATCATAAATCTTTCTGAATGAATAATTCTAGCTAGACATTCACAATTATAAAACCAATTTCTTTAAGGAAATAAATTAACAATACATTAGGTAAAAAGGGTTTTATGTTGGAAAACTTCAAATAAGCTGAGCAATGTTACAAGTATTTTCAATGCTTGCTTTAAAAGATTGTTACGCATATATACATGCACATATATCTAAACAATCCATACCTTCATTTTTGAAAAGCATGTCACCCCATGGGTTGCAACCCTTTTCCCAGGTTCTCCCATGTTCTTCTGATGGTTTCCAGATGTTTTTCTTTAAATGTCTTACTTCTGCCTTTCCAAAAATATCAAACAGTGATTAATTAAACTATTGACTGAACTGTAACAAGTCATACATTAAAAAAAGAAAATAAACTTTACTAGAGGTCTTAATCATCATTTCTATTGCTGTGATAAAATACCAGAACCAAAATCAACTTAGAGTGGGAAAGGGAAAACCAAAATCATCTTAGAGGGCAAAAGTGTTATTTGAGCTCACAATTTTATATCACAGCTTGTCACAGATGGAAGTCAGGGCAGAAATTTATGGCCGCAACCTGGATATGGAAGCAGATGCAGAAGCTAAGGAGGAATACTGTTTCCTGCTTTTGCTCTCATGGCTTGCACTACCTGCTTTCTTATAGAACCCTGGACTGCCTGGCCAGGGAATGGCCCATCCATAGTAAGCTGGGCCCTCTCACATCAATATTCAATGAAGAAAATCCACCAAAGGATAGACTATAACCTTGTGACATTTTCTCAGTTTAGGTTCTGTCTCCCCCAACTGACCCTAGGCTGTGTCAAGTTGATATAAACTGTTGGGCACAGCAGTAGAGGTGATTCAGTGGGTAACGTGTTTGATTCCTAACTTGAGGATATCAGTCTGAATTCTGAGCAACCAACTGAAAACCTGGACTTCTCTGCACCAGCCTGTAACCCCAACACTGGGAGGATCCAGAGAGCAGGATCACTACAGCATGGCATCCTGTCACTCTAACCAAATGAACAACTGACAAATACAGTGAAGAGACTCCATTATAAAACCTAAGGTGAAACATTCTAGAGGAAGGCATTCAGTACTGACTTGTGACCTCCATAATATGTTTACTTGTATGTGTACACCTGCCCCTACACACGTAATTGTGTATATACATAAAGGTACATATTCACTGCTCAGTCTCTCTCTCTCTCCTCCCCCCCCTCACACACACACATACACACCTACACATACATACACACACATACACATGCATCACTTGAAAAGGAACAACTTAACCAGTACCTTGAATATGATAAAATTTTCTAGGAAGTTTTTATTCTAACTAATTTTGAAAAAAAAAGCCATAGGAGAAGATTTGGTTTGTTTGATTTCTTCTGAAAAAGTCAAAAAGTCAAATAACTATGCTTAGTCTTTGGTGATATTAAAGCAGGCCTCAGAATTTGTTAGGCTCTAACCTGAAGCTAAGGACAATGTGGTTAAGACAAAACTTTTCACTTTCTTACCTAAGCAAATAAAACCTGAATGAAGCCCTTTGAAGTCACTTGGAGGCTGCTGCCTTTAAGAACATGAAGATATCTGCTGTTTTTGTTCTAAATGTTTGTCTCACTGAGCCAACTAAAGCGGTTTTTTTTCAGACTTCCTTCTTGAGGTCTTTGCGTTCTAAGATTTCCCTGGTGTCTCAAGAAGAGAAACACATTCTGGGGCACTGTAGATTCACAGAGACCTGGGGAGACAGAGAATTTTAATCAAGAAAACAACCCAAAGAAAAACAACAAATAAATCTACAATCTGGGAATAAGTTGAATACTTCCAGATTTAAAAAATGTAGGAATAGGAAAAGACCAGACACCTAAAAAGACATCTATAGATGGTTATTTAAGACATACATGCTACGGATGGAAAAACATGTAAGTCCCTGTGTAGGTGATATGCAGGTGCAAGTATTAATATGCAATGCATAAAGGTGACTTGAGCTCGATTCAACTGTATCAGCCTCATCAAATTATTTACTGTCTTGAAATTAGAATATTTTCATCACCAAATAGGTATTTTAATTTTATATTTATTACAGAAAATCTATTTCAACTTAGCAGTATTAATCCTTAGCAGCATCTGCAGCAAGAATTTTTTTTAGCTTTACTTTAGTTTTATTGCAAACGAAATAAATTTTTTCACTTCTGATACAAAATATATTTCTTCCCTCCTAACTTGACAACCATTAATGAAGTTTGTTGTGACAAAACATGTTTATTTAGCTTACATTGTCACCATTTTTCAGAAAATACCAAACTATAGAAAATACATTTATTCAAAATATTCCAATCCGACTAAGATGCAAATGCCACAAATTCTCCCCCTTTTTTTACACTTCTTTTCACATTTTCTCCTTATTTTTCACTTCAAAAGGGAAATTATTATGCTAGATTTTAAAATTTCTAAATGTATTATTGAAATTCCAGTGAAAATGTGCCTATCGACAGTGACATTTTTATGCTGTAGGTTTTAAAGCAAAGCTCAAAATAAACACACTCTCTTGAGTCATTGGGGTTGACAGGAGACACAGAGGAAACAAGACATGCTAGAGGACACGTAAATCCACAAGCAACGTGGCAATGCATAGACTAATAAAAATGGGTTAATTTAAATGTCAGAGTTAGCTAGTAACACTCCTGAGCTAAGGGCTGAGCATTTATGATTAAATAAGCCTCTGTGTGTTAATTTGGAAGTAACTGCTGGGACAGAAAAACTCCACCTGCACCCACTGACCAAAAGAAATGTCTACATTTGTGCAAGAAGACATGCATGGCTATATTTCAAATACCATGTTTAGAAGTTGATAAAACATGGCAAAACCAAAACTGTACAATGCTGGAGGAGTTGTTGAGTCCTGGATACAGTAGTGCAATGGAATAGTCATAATCAATGATGACTGTGGCTTCCATTCCAATGCTGCAGCAAGAATTTGTGAAAATCCTCTAAGTAACATTCATTTGACTTGTAATTCAGAATGGTTTTAACTTTATAAAATATTTAAACCATTTACCAAAGTTTTAAATCCCAGACACAACTGAGTATGAGTATGACTGTAATTTTCTCAACTGCCTTACAATTGCAATGAATACTATTTGAACATCAACTATATTTATGAAGCATCAAGAGTGAAGAAAGAACAAGACAAGCTTGTTGTTCTGTAAAGAAGCAAAGTTGTTAGAGACACCACAGATACCAGAGAAAGTTACTTGTTTCAAATCCCTAGGAACCTAGGCTTCTAGGAAAGATAATTTCTTTAAAAGAAATAAAGGCATGCTGAGAGAGAATGGGGACATGTAGGCTAAGGTACAACTTACTTATTGCGGAAATAAGGAAGAAAATTCATAGCATATGGATGAAAATTTTAATGACTCTCTAGGTAGTTTTGAATAGATATAAGAATGAAATTACAGACTCAAGGATCCCACATAAAACTTCAAGTCCACTTAACTTCATGAAAGGACCTGATAATGGTTGTGGAAATAATAAAGAAAGGGGGCAGTTTCCAGTAGAGGGGAGGCTCATGTTTTAAATTGCCACCAATTTAGATGAAATTTCAACCTTTGAACTCTTTTCACCTGCCTCTTTTTGTCTCATCTTATTGCAATCTCGCATCAGCCTTTTCTTGCTTTGCTTTCTTCTTGTGCATTCCCGAGTGCGGGGTGGTTTGCCTATCCATCATTAAGAAAATTTACTTCTCTCCCATGTGAAAGCCAAGCACTTGAAAACAGATTCAATGTTAGTAAACTAATCCCATTTTTCTCTAAAGTGCCAAAATTTTCTATATCCTTTCAGATGCATTTTAAACATGTCCATAAAGGAAAAAAGACAAAGCAACATGTTTCTTTGATTCAACAAAACTTGTAAGACCCAATACTGAAGCATGTCACAATTCCCTCTTGAGCACTTTGAACTTAAATGAGAAATCTACACAAGTGGCAGCTGCATGAACAGTGTCCATTTGTTAGCACAACATTGTTTAAACGATAACTTCTGTTTCCAGGATCACAGTATCAAAATAAATCCATTATCAGCCATCAAAGCTAAAGAAAACAGGATGTTACACTTTTATTAAGCTGACATCACTGTCTTGAATCCTTTCTTCACACCAAAATGAGGCATGGGAAATGTCAGTCTGATTCTCAAGCAAAAGAATTCATAACTCTGAATTGCTTGAGTTTTTGTAAAAATGTATGACAGGGTGTCTGCTCTCTCAAGCATTTTAAGAATACAGAGCATAATTTCTAAGTAGGTGGGTGAGCATACTACAAAGCAGATCTCTAGAATAGTTACTACCTTGCTGTACTGACACTCTATACACACAGAGCAGCTACATTACTCTGGGGGAACTTTTGGCTGATGGTCCTTAATGACATCTCAATCACAGGGGAATATAACTCTGTACAGGTAAATAAGCACACTCAATCAGACTCAGTATCCACACAATTTGAAATTATCAGGAAATCCATGCTGTTCATACCACCTCACTCTCTACTGTTGAATTAATGAAACAAAGATTCTGCTTTACCATGGCCAAGCAAATAATACATACATGAAGAAGTCTTAGGAGACGATCCTCTCCCTGGTGCTGGGAAAAAGAGCTACAGTAAACAAAGTCTAATGAAAGGTACCTTTCCCCGGGATTCTCAATCCTAGGGACAGCCTATTGGGTGCTGTCCAGTTGAACTGTGTTCAACCAATACCAAGCCAAGAAAGAACATGGAAAATCAATTGTAAATAGAAGTTTCTGTCCCGTCTCATTCTGCAGTCATTCAGTCTCAAATTAACACACAGAAGCCAATATCAATTATAAGATAATTGGAACATTAGCTCAAGTTTATTAACTAACTCTTACAACTTAAATTAACCCATAATTCTTGCCTATGTTTAGCCACATGGTTCAGTACCTTTTCTCAGTGAGGCAATCTCATCTTACTTCCTCTATGTCTGGCTGGTGACTGCATCTCTGTGTTTCCTCTTCCCAGAATTCTCTTAATCTGGTTGCCACATTTATACTTCCTGTCTGGCTATTGATCAATCAGCATTTTATTAACCAATATTAGTGAAAAATCTTTATAGTGTACAAAAGCATTATCCCCACAGCCAATAGCATTTTCTCTTTTTTATTTTCTAAAAAAGAACTTGTATCTAATTTCCTTTGCCTAGCAATTTTTCTGACGATTATCCAGAACAACTTGTAACTAACAACCTAGACGAAAACAAACATCCATAATCCATCTTTGAGGAATGTAGGCATAGTTTTCTAGGCTACTTGCTTCTGATTGGTGGCACTGATAATCTTATGGGGGCCCCCAAAAAATTAGGATTATGGTCAAGTACTGACTGGAGTATTCTGTGAGGCTGGATCTTCTTAGCCAATAGTCTTGAGGCTGTACTATGTAGAACTCAGAGGAAACTGCAACAGAGGTGCTCTGAAATATTGCATCATCTGGGTCATTCACTCCCATTAGAGATTTTTCAGGGGATATTTCTTGATCAAACCTTTTTTAAAAAACCCAGAATGAATCCTCAGCCTCTCATTTTCTGTGGAAACAAAAGCAAAACCTCATCGCCAAACTTACACACCTTTTGACTTAAATTTTGAATTCAAGGTATTTTGAAAATATATAGGCTGGGTTAATACAGAAATATCTATAATCAAATGTCTTTTAGCAGCTGTTACTTCTTTCTCTGTAGTCAAACAATTCAGAGACAGCACAATAACATACAGTATCCAGACTCTCTGTGTAGTTTTCATCTTTACATAGCTTTTTTCTTACTCTATTTTTTATTTTTACTTTTAAATTTTTTTGAGACAAGGTTTCTATAATAGGAGGAAGTTTGTTCATTCCAAGCTGATCAGCCCCAAAATAACCACATAGAAACTGTATTAATTAAATCAATGCTTGGCCCATTAGCTCTAGCTTCTTATTGGCTAACTCATATCTTAATTTAATCCATTTCACTAAACAGTGGTTTACCAGATAAATTTCCAAAGTCTGTGTCTGGTAGGGCTACATGACTTCTCTCTACTCTGCCTTCCTTCTCCCAGCTTTCAGTTTAGTTTTCCCTGTTTAGGTCTATTCTTTTGCCCTATCACAGACTGTAACATGACGGGGCCAGCTTGTTGGGTTTCTGTCCCGCCCAGTACCCCAACAAGCCAGCAAGTCCCAAGGAAAATCACACAGAGTCTACATTAGGTTATAAACTGATTGGCCCACTAGGTCAGGCTACTTATTAGTTCTTACAACTTTTGTTACCCCATTATCCTTATCTACTTTAGCACATGGCTCCGTACCTTTCTCAGCTGGGTAAGTTACATGCTGCCTCTTCAGTGATCTGTGCAGGAGTCGTGAGAGAGCTTCCTGTGTCCCAGAAAACTCCCAGTCTCTTTGCTCCACCCCTACTTCCTGTCTGGCTTTCCCGCCTATACTGCCTGCCTGGCCAATCAGTGTTTTATTAAAATATGATTGACAGAATACAGACAATTCTCCCACACCATTTCCCTCTTTTTTTTTAAACAAAAGAAAATACCCATAGTCCATTTGTTGGGAATGTGGGCGTAGTATTTCAGGCTACTTCCTGCTGGTTGGGGGCGCTGATGATCTTATGGGGACCTAAAGAAAATTTAGAGTTATAATCAAGTCCTGACTGGAGTATCCTGTGAGTCTTGATCATCTCAGGCAGCAGTCTTGAATCTGTTCTGGATGTAGAATTCAGACATCCAGGCCATCTGTTCCTACCAAAAATTTCTCAGGAGGTCTCCCTTGATCAAAGATGATTTTTCTTAACTCTGAATAAATCCAGAGCCTCTCATTTTCTGTGGAAACAAAAACAAAATCTCTTCTCCAAAGTAACATACCTTTTGACTTCAATTTTGAAGCCAAGGTATTTTCAAAATACCTATCTTGGGTTAGTTCAGCAGCATTTATAAACAAAAGTCTTTTAGCAGCTGTTGTTCCTTCCTCAGCATTCAAACAATTCAAAGAGAGCATAATAGCACACAGTATCAAGATTATCTGTGTATTTTCCATCTTTATGCAGCTTTATTTTTAACCTCTATTTCTTTTATTTTTACTTTTACTTTTTGACACAGGTTCTCTGTATATCTTTGTCCTGGAATAACACTGTAGACCAGGCTGTCCTTGAACTCACAGAGATCCTTCTGTCTCTGCCTCCCCAGTACTGGGCTCAAAGGTGTTTGCTACCACACCTTGTACTCACAGAGATCCATGCCTCTCTGCTTCCCCAGTGCTAGGATTAAAGGTGTATGCTACCACACCTTGAACTCAGAGATCTGTCTGTCTCTGCCTCCCAGGCATTGGGATTAAAGGTGTGTGCTACCACACCTTGAAATCACAGAGGTCAACTACCTCTGTCCCTTGTAGTCTCAGAGGTCAAAGTACCTCTGCCTCCCAGGCATTGGGATTAAAGGTGTGTTCTACCACACCCATCTAATCTCTTTCTTTTTACTTTAAGAACTTTAACTTTTATCCTGCATATATTTTTAACATACTGTAAATCATTTAGAGGTTTTCTTCCTCTTTGAATCTCTCTTTACTGTATATCTCTCTTTTTCTGACCACTTGAGTCTTTAAGAAGAGGATGAAAGCTGTGGCTTTGATGGCTAGATCCTCATGGCTGAGGTACCAGCCAGAGCTGTGTTCACTGCCACAACTCTATGGCATTTCAAGGTCCTTGCCAGCAAGCTGCAGCATTCTGCTCACAGACCACACTCAGTCGGACTGCCTGCCTGAAAGAGTCAGAGTTTGCCCTGGCAGGACAGCCCAGAAAGCTGGCATTTTAAAACAGCGCAGCTTTTATCCTGCTACGGCTGAAAGCTGAAAAGCATGCGGTCAGCTTTTCGCCAACACCGTTTAAGTGCTTCGTGGCAGGACCTCTTAAAAGAGCTGCAGGTTTTGCAGCTAAAGCTGAGTCAGGAAGCCTCTCTTAGATGAGAGCACTTGCTTGTCTCTAGCAAGCAGAGCAGACCCGAGAAATTGCTGCTACCAACAAAACATGCTTTACTCTATTCTTTCCCAAGCTTTCTCAAGCTTTCTGTGGATTCAGTTATCCATGTCTGGGCGCCATATGTAACATGATGGGGCCAGCTTGTTGGGGTTTCTGTCCCGCCCAGTACCCCAACAAGCCAGCAAGTCCCAAGGAAAATCACACAGAGTCTACATTAGGTTATAAACTGATTGGCCCACTAGGTCAGGCTACTTATTAGTTCTTACAACTTTTGTTACCCCATTATCCTTATCTACTTTAGCACATGGCTCCGTACCTTTCTCAGCTGGGTAAGTTACATGCTGCCTCTTCAGTGATCTGTGCAGGAGTCGCGAGAGAGCTTCCTGTGTCCCAGAAAACTCCCAGTCTCTTTGCTCCACCCCTACTTCCTGTCTGGCTTTCCCGCCTATACTGCCTGCCTGGCCAATCAGTGTTTTATTAAAATATGATTGACAGAATACAGACAATTCTCCCACACCAACAGACCAAGATAGTTTTTTTATTAACCAATTGTATTCACAGCATACTGAGGGGAATCACACCTCACCTCCCTTTTCTGTTGAAATAAAAAGGAAGGTTATAACTTTAACATAGTAAAATTACATATAACAAAAGAGTTATTACACAAGAATAACAGTTACAATATTTATATCTATTTTATCTTTTTTCATGACTAAGGAAAACTATATCTATTCGTCAACTCCATCAAAGAGTCCAGAAGGAATAATATTACTTAAGTAAACAGGAAGTGCTTTGTAAGCAACTTCCAACACTCTAGAATTGATAGAGATATCTCGCTGCCTGGACAGTCACCCAAAGTTCTTCTGCATGATTAGGGAATTCATCTTTAGCTTACAGGCCCATAGTTTCTAGCAGACGTTTCCTTGAAGCAGGAAATTTCAAAGACAGTTTCATCTATATTGGTAGTCATTTTTTCTATATCCTGGAGAATGTTTGGCAGACTTTTTCAGGAAGCAGGAACCCCGAAGGACCATCTCCCCATTAGGTAACTTCAGCAGTCATATCTTTGTGGGTCCTGTATGTCCAGTTAAGCAACCTGGGTAATAGCATTTTCTTGCCCAAATGGTTAGCAAACTTTATAAGGAGCCTCTTCAATAACCATCTTCCTCTTGAAATAATTGGTGCTTCCAGGAGCAGACATGTCTTATTGTCATGATAAGGCCTAAATTCTTAAAACAGTTTAAATGCCATACTTTATTGTCTTTGAAAGGTTTAAAGAATACCCATCTATCTGAAATACATCTCTGTACATCTAGAAAATCTAACTAACATGACTATAAGCTTGACTATTATAGATGATTATCTATTAACTTATATTTCCCAATTATACATTACATTTTGAAATAAGCTGCACAAACACAATTGCTTACTCAAGAGAAGAAATATATATACACAGTATAACAAATTGTTGTTAAATTTGTATCAATAAACCAAAATTCATACCAATGCAAATCTCTATAGTATATCCCCCTTTAAGTGTAAAAATTTGTAAACAATCATTTAGGGAATTGGGGCATAGTTTTCTCCAACCTGTTTCCTGCTTTTGGTTGGGCCAAGTAATTTTTGGGGATGTTCATAAATACCTTTCAGGAGATCTTGGTCCAACAAATCACATTAGTCTGGA